AACCCCGAACGTCGAGCTTCCGGGCAACAAATCCACAACTATCATGCTTTCGTCCAATTGAGGTTTAGGGACATAATTGTACCTAGATCTTAAGATCTATTTTGACGTTATGCAGGGGTGCGTATGTACCTAAAATTCATGTACCTACATGTACTATACATACGCCTCTGGCCACGGCTGGAACTTCAAGTGCTGTTATGTAGGCATATAGTTTCAACATGCATGGCTATATATCGTTACAGTAAGCACTCGGCTAGAGGGGCCCCGAGAATAAATCGGGAGCTATTACCAAACTCGGGCACACTGGTTTGGACTGACATCAGAGCTTCTTTTCTCAAACCGATTCCAATTGTGCAAATTGTCGTATTAGCACCGGTGAATAGTGTGGGTAAATGGATCCAGGTGCCAAGGTAAGGGCTATAGAGTTGAGGAGGATCATTGGTCACCGTAACCAGAGTGTTTCTTGTGGCATTTTCAAAACATGGGCCTGGCTAATATAATTGACCAGTGGGATGTCCAACCGGCCCTGTCATTAAAACGGAATGCCCCGTTCGAACTCGCCAAGCCAGTAATTGGACGTCAATGGGGTTGTCCTGTTCAACTGCATGTTTCCTCCGTCCAAAGGTGATATATGATGAGAGGGCTGCTTTTGTTGACCAGGTTGGCTAATTATAAGATACATAACAACAAATAAGGCAAATACTATATATCTCAATCTTGCCGATCGAATGCTGACCATACAGAAGTAATGTCAGTAAAGCTGCATGCATCGGAGTGGTTCATATAGGTCACATGAATTGTTTCTCGCAGATCCTTTCTCTTTCAAACATTCACTTCAATACTTGAGAGGCCAATAGCTCTAGTACATCGGTAGTTTGCTGCAGCTATGAGGCTTAGTGAGGTGGTAGGTACTAAGTTTGGCAAGTGTTGAAGACACATCCCCAAATATTGTCCCACCTACGAAACCAGGGTCTTTACAAGTTATGAGAAGAAGGACACACATCTAATGGGAGTCTTAAAACTGAGTGGATAACGAGTGCTCATTGGCTAGGGTGCGTAGCAACCACTTCCGTCAGTCATTGCACACGCTAAAATTTATATGACCATGACTCTCAATCTCTGTTTCAGGCCCCGCATCTCGAATAATACCTCTTGAACTCTTTCTTTTCTGTTTCACGCAGTCATCAATTATAAAATGTGGATATCATTATTCCACAGAAAGTAATGATCACAAGATATCACTCGCATATTGTTGGGCATATTGTTGGAGTCTTGGCAACTTTTCCAGCCTGGTAGGGCACATCTTTACTTCAGGTAGGGATAAGAACAAGCCCAGATAGTCTATGATGTAAGAGCAAGTGCAACCCAAGAGTGTACTTGTGTAATCATACACTGAGTCATGCGAACAGGATTATATTATAGGCAAATCAAGTGCGTATGTTTTGGTGTTCAGATCCGTACGTGTACGCGTGTCAACCGCCCTTATCCGTCAATATTGACTATCGTGAGGGTACGAGAGGCCCGCGGACATGCGCAGAGCTAGAGAAAAACGATATTGATTCGTAGGGCCCAGTGGTCAGCATTGATGAGCGGTTGTGATATATATATAGTCTGATAACTTTGCACAACGTTTGATGTTTCAACAGATGGGGGGGGGGCTACGCAGCATGATTACACGCACGCACAAAGGCACCCCGCAAATACTTTTGTGATTCATCTGAGCGCCTAGTCTCACCTCTTTTACTAATATGTCAACTTGACTTGTCGGATTTGGCATATCGTTAATGGTATTCAACCTTTGATGAAATCCGCCCTTGAGCAACTAGAGCTTTAGAGAGATCACAAAACCTACGGTAGCATGGAAGTTTTTGCATGTGTAAAACGGGGTTTAATTGTTGAACGAGATTATTTTCATAACTTTGTCCTATATATCACGGTTACATGAAGTATCCACTAGTGGTCTTACTAATATGTGGCAATTCCAATTTATCCGGCCAGGGCCCCCGGGAGGCAGGTTCCGGTAGAGTGTAAATAAAAGTAACAAGTGCAAATTAAAGTTCATTTCCTGATTCATTTCTACACCAAAAATTGATTCATTTCCACAGGTCTTTTTGGCGGGCATCGGGAAGCACATTTCCGGTGATGTATTTTATACCAAAATATTTACGTATAAAATTGTTTTATATATTTATTCATTTCTATAGACTGTAGAGTGTTCAATCCCAGCCCGACTGTCCAATCCCCGGTATCCCCCAACTCATAAACGTATTTACCACCGCTTGTCAATCATGCAGTCCGGCCCGCTGGCCAACGTTGACGAATGAGATAGACCATTCATCGAAGTTGACGAATCAGAGTTATCCTAGTGGTGCACACAGGACGAGATATGCAAGCGTGTCCAGCTACGCCCACCATCTCTTAGTTCTCGCACCTTACTACATGTGGTTCCTTGGCAGCCGAGCGAGTGATACCCCATGATTTTCCATCCTCGAGTTCCCATCCCCAATTTTCACTCCCAGCCACAACACAACACGCAATACCCCTCACCAAACTTCCCCCACTCCTCGCACAGACCATATAGGGTAGCAGAAAAAAGAAAAAAGGAAAGAAGTACCGAGCAACAAAAGACTTACGTGATGAGTATCATCACTCAAGAGCGTCGCTACCATGTTGGGCATTCTTCATCTCTGCTTCCACCCCGGGTTGAACCGGTGGTGTCATGCAACGTAGCAGAGGCTATTACCCCTCGACCACGCCACGGTGCTGACAATAGGGCCTGGGTGGTATATAAACCTTTGGTTGGCTATTGATTGGAGCGGGTAACTAAACATGTGCAAGCTGGGTGACGTCGACCATGCACTCTAATACACCCGTGTCTAGATAGTTCCCGGAGTCCCCCCCACCATGGCAACGGGACTCTCGCGACTGAATTTACCTCAATCACAGTAAACTTTTATACAAGACTGAGTAGGATAACTAGAGAGAGTATGTAGATTAAGGATATGCCAAAATTCTTTGTGAAGAAACACTACTTTAATTGACCCCGTTGCTATTTGGGGGGGCTCCGGGAATTACTTAATTAGACACGGGTGTACAAGTATGCGCGATAGACATTAAGCGCGAGCTACGTAGGCCTCTACCGCTTGAGGAATCCGTTTAACGCCAGAGTACGAATGCCTGTATCACCTCCGTCACCTGTGTATCCTGCGGGCAGAAGACAAGTAGCAAACTTCGAGGGTCCAACGACATGCATGGCCCAACTACAGGGTCCTGGATCTATTTGGCACTTATGTAGCACCGGGCCCAGACCCACGAAGTCATCAACACAACCAACATACACTGACAAGACCAGAAGCACTATGTACATGTATTGAGTGACGACGCGAGCAACCGGACTACATGTATGTACGCCATGCGCACACTGCGCACCAAACACCTCCACGAGCTATGGCTGCAGCATGCTGGAATGGTGCATGCTCTAGCTCTTATATCACATGTATGGCAGCGTCCTCTATCTATACACCACCCAGACGTATCTAGAAGGGGGTCTAGAGACTATAGTAGTTGAGCTGTGCTAGCTGGGAGTAGTCGGAACCTACGTACTTGTATGTAACTACATGTACGCACACAGCCAGCGTCTCCCGGCGACACAGTACCCATCCCTCCTTGACGTGGGCTGCTGCATAAATACAGGTAGCTATAAGCACAACCAGCATGCTCAAAGGCTCCAACTACAGCCCGGCCCAAAGGCACAAGCACATGCTGTATACCAAAGCCCCGCAAAAAGCGGTTACAAAGATATATCAGATCTGACAAGCAAGCCCTGTTCCAAAAACGAGCACAAGTCTAATGCCGTCACGCTATATCACGACGGTGCCGACGTGACTGGGGACGCATAAATACAAGTAGCTATAATGCGAACACCGTAGTGCGTCGAAGCCTAGTCTCGTGTTGTTGTATTAGCTCCGCGGTGTGCAGAAAGGTTCAGGTCAAAACAGGTCCGGGTAGGTAGGTTACTAGTTGAAGCTCAAATGTTTATACACAGCCATACATGTATATATATATGTTCCTACACCAGGCCTAAGCTCAGTTAACGTAGTTACATGTAGAAGCACTGTAACCCCCAGCGATCGAACAAGCGCATGGGCATTGCAAAGCTAGCCGCAGCGGCGGGGGGGGGGAAAAGGGAAGGGAAAGGAGAGAGGAAAAAGGCAGCTGCTAGATAAAAAACGCTTATCGATTTGCTCAAGCCACAGAAACATATGTAGCTACATGTATGTATGTAGTAACGGTGCCTCAAGCAAAAGGAATGCCAAGACTTCCGAGTGACCTCCCATGATCCACCACTCAGCCCGCCCCCCAGAAAACGTGGTCTGGTGCAGGATAACAGGTTCTCTCACACCGCAGGCGTGGGGGAGATCTACATAATCTACATGTCCATACCATCAAAGATGTAAAAAGAGGCCAGATCCCATAGACGCCGCGCCGCTGAACGCCCAGGCCGGCCCGGTACCAGCAGGCACCAGCACTACGCTGAGGCCATATTTCCAGTCCCAAGGACCAGCCTATATATCACCGTCACCGCCCTGCCATGGGAATCAACCCGCAGGGAACAGGGCTATTAATTCCAACACCTGGAATCGCTTGACTTTGGTGGCGTAATCACGGTATATCACTCGACCCAAACCACCTTCATCTAGAACCTAGAATCTAGATCTGATAATAAAGGAAGAAAGCGATTTTAATTATTTTATAGTCCATCCCCGGCCCACAGCCCTCCTTATACCCCAGCGCTACATGCAATACAGGAAAGAAGCCAATGTTTATTTTTCCACCAAGCCACAACAGAAAGAAAAACTCCACAGATCAGAACACAGAACAGAACAGTAGCGCACGCTATATAAAACACCCCCCTCTCACCGCCATGCAAAGCCACACGGCACAAAAAAAAAAAAGCTATATAAAAAAAAACGCCCGCTTCAACCACCCACCCCAACCCACTACTTATTAAAATCACTCACCAAATCCCTATACATCTGCTTCAAATCCTCCACATCCGCCCTCAACTCCTCCACCTCCTCACTCTTCTCCCCCAGCATAACAAGCGCCGTCTCCTCCCTCCTCCGCAACACCCCCACCTCCGCCTCCAACGCCCCCACCCTCTCGCCACACGCCCGCTTCTCCTCCAGCTCCCTTACAAGCTCCACCACCTCCGCCCTCGCCTCGTCCCTGCCTCTCGCCATCGCAGCAACCTCCTCGCGCGCCGCAACCATCTCGCTCTCCAGCCGCCGCACCGTCGCTGACATCCGCTCGACGAGCTGCACGGACGGACCCGCCGCAACAGTAGACACGCTCACCATGTCGCCGCGCCGCGGCGAGAACGGGATGTTGTCGAAGTAGTCGCTGTCGTCCTCTTCTGCGGCTGGCGCCATGCGCGCTGTGGCTGCAGTGGGGGGCGTGCTGAACCCGCGCCGCGAGAATGGGTCGGTCGGTGTGCCGCCGGGCGCGGAAGACGGTGTGTAGACGTCGCCCGGGGAGCGGCTGGGCTTGCGTGTGCCGACAAAGTAGGACTCTGTAGTCGACAGCGGGCCGGAGGACTTTCGGAGCGGGAGGGAGGGCGGCGCGGTGTGTAGGTGGAGGTTGAGCGGTGAGGAGGGGCGTGAGCCGTGCTGCTGGTGCTGGTCGGCCCATTTCTGGCGCTCTTCGGAGAGCTTGGTGTCGAGGTCGCGCTGCCACGATTGGCGCTCGGACTCGAATGTGCTGCGGAGGGTGGTGAGCTCTGTTTCGACGGCTTTGAGGCGGGATTGGAGCGTGGCTGTGGTTTGCTGAGAGATGGCCAGGTCGGACTCGAGGTCTTTAATACGCGAGTTTGCAGTGTCGAGGTCCATGTCGAGGTTTTTGGACTTGATGCTCTTTTAATTTTCCCCGTCTGTCAGTCCGTTTCCCCCTAGCTTCCCCCCCCCCCCCCCCCCATATATATATATTCCACCAACGAATTCAGAAACTCACCAGGTCTCTTGCCTTCCGCCTGATGTCGGCCTCCTTCCTCGTCAGCTCGTCGCGCTCCTTCTCCAGGCCCGCAATCCGGCCCAGCATGCTCCCCTCGATGCCCTGCCAGTTCTCGCTCGCAATCGCATACTGCGTCTGCAGCGTCTCGACCTGCCGCAGCAGCTTCGCATGCGCATCGCCGCTCGCGCCGCTCGACACCTCCTCCGCGCGGGCCCGCAGCGCCTCCATCTTGCGCTCCATAACCTACAACACACACACACAATCAGCCCGGAACCCACAACCACACCAGCACAGCACAACAAAACACAATCGACACCTACCGCCTGCTCCGCCTTCAGCTCCTCCTCCACACCCCTCGCCCTCTCCGCATCGCGCGCAATCTTACTCCTCAAATCCGCCACCTCGACCCTCAGCGCCTCCTCCACCCCCGCCGCCTCACCCCTTACCCTCACCACCTCCGCCGCCAGCTCCGCACTCCGTCTCCTCTCCACCTCCAGCGCCTCCGTCTGCACCCTCCTCTCCGCCTCCTCCGCCCTACGCTCCCCCTCCTCCACGCGCGCCTTCAGCTCCGCCATCGCCGCCAGCAGCCCCTCCTTCTCGCCCCGCAGCGCCTGCAGCTCACCCTCCAGCTTGCCCACGCCCCGCAGCCGCTCCTTGTCGCGCTTGCCGTCCTCCGCCGCCCGCTTCAGCTTCTCCTTGGCGTCGGCGGCGTCCTTCTCGGCGCGCTCGGCGCGCTTGCGCGCCTCGCTGGTCTGCCGCTCTTCGTCTTGCGTCTTGAGGCGCAGCTCTTTGATTGTGTTGCGGAGCTTTAGCTCGCCGCGGGAGAGCTTCTCGCCCTCCTCGAGGAGTAGCGCGATCTTTTCTTGTGCCTCTGCGAGCTTCTTCTCCGTCGCTGCTCCGCCGCCTGCGCCTGGTACTGGTGTGGGGGTCTTCCTCGCTGGCGCCCGTGCCTTTTCCTTTTCTCCCTCCCTCTCCCTCTCTTCCTGTTCTGCCGCCGAGCGCTTCAGCTCCCTCACCAGCCTTACCAGCTCCTCCCTCCCCACCCCCGCAAACTCACCCTCACCCTCGCCCTCGCCCTCGCCCTCGCCCTCGCCCTCGCCCTCCCCATCCCCTCCTCCTCCCTCGCCAGCACCTCTTCCTGCTTCTCCCCGCCGCCGCCGCCGCCGCCAGCGCCATTCACCACCCCCTCCCCCTCCTTCTCCGGCGGCCTCGTCTCCGGCGGCCTATTCTCACGCTCACGCAGCGACTCCCCCGAGCTCCTCCGGCTGCCACCGCCACTGTCCGCTTTCGCCACGGCCGCCGCGAGGCGCTCCTGCATCGTCATTCTGCCATTCGCCTTTTGCACCACCGGTGCTTGCGCCGGTGCCGGGGAGGGAGAGGGTGAAGGGGAGGATTCAAGCTGGTGTTGATGGTGATGATGCTGGCGCTCGCTGTCGTCGAGGAGGACTTTGTCGAGGCGGGACTCGAGCCCCGCCAGGCCCTTTTGGAGGAAGTTCATGGTTGGTGGTGCATGTACTGGCTGGCTGGCTGGTTGGTTTGGTTTTGTGGCGGTGGGGTGGGGTGGGGGGGGGGGGGTGGGTGTGTGTGGAGTGTAGTGTAGTGTTGTAGTGTTGGAGTAGTGTAGTAGTGTAGTAGTGTAGTAGTGTATGTAGTGTACCCGGGGGTGAGTGGGGTGGGAGTGGTGAGTGGTGAGTGGTGAGAGGGTGGGAGTGGTGAGAGGACGAGAGGATGAGAGGATGAGAGGACGAGAGGACGAGAGGACGAGAGGACGAGAGGACGAGAGGACGAGAGGACGAGAGGACGAGAGGACGAGAGAGAGGACGAGAGGATTGTAGATGGCAGATGGCGGTATTCGGGGGTGCGAGGGGGGAATGGATGGATGGATGGATGGATGGATGGATGGATGGATGGATGGGATGAGAGTCGTTGTTGTCGTTGTACTCGTTGTGCAAGCTGGGATTAGAGTACTGACTGACAGCCTCGATCAACTGGACTCGACTGATTGATTGATTGACTCGCCAGCTTCACCGCACCGCAATTACGAGTCTGTAGACTGACTGTCTGTGTCTGCCGAACTCCGACCCCGGTTCTCACTGTACTATTCTCCCTGCCCCGGCCTTTGTCGTGGTCCATCACAATCCCTCTCTCAATCTACTCTGCTCTGCTCTACCGCACACTCGCCAATTCTATTTTAAGCCCCCACCCAAGCTGTCGCTGTCGTCGTGGCTGCATTCGGAGCGTGCGTGCGAGACATACGCAAGCCGGTCTCTACATACATGTAGTTACGGTGCATCGGTACATCATATTGCAACCTCCACTCTACTCTACTCCACTCCACTCTACTCTACACTGCTCATGTATCAACGAGAACATAACAAATACCATGTAGTATTCCACTCCATTCCACAACAGACAGAGACAGCGTCTATAAAAACCAACTAAACTCCAATACAAAAGATGCGGCCCCGCTAATACTACTACTAATAAATACACCCGGCGCGCGTACGTTCGTCTGCATCAATCACAAGCGCTTGAAGCAATCTCCGTCTATAAACAACAACACAAAGCCCTTTTTTTCTTTTCTCCAAAACCACTCACTCACCATCTATCTATGCCTTCTTTTTCCCCACCACCACCGCAGCAGCGCCGTCCGCTCCGCGCTTCCGCCGAATCACAGGCAGATGCCATATTTTTGGCCAATCGAGGTCGAACTGGTCTTGGTCGCCATTGAGACAATGCCTCAACCATATACCTATCACCACCACAATCAGCACTCTCCCCCCAACACTCAGGGAGCAGAAACTCACCATAAACAATATAATAATACGCCCCCACCCCCGTCAACAAATGCCACCACCCATGTCCCTCCGCCAACACCCCCCACGGCAGCCCCACCCCCCTCCTCCACCCCCTCAGCGCGCCGCACCACGCATTATCCACATTCCACAGCGCAAACCCGCACAGAAACACAAACAGGCCCCACCCCACCATCCACCACATGGTGTCCACATCGTGCGGGCGCGTGCGCCGCAGCCGCGTCTCCATGAGGTACCAGCTGCGGAAGAGCAGCAGCGCCGTGAGGATTGCGTAGGCGTTCTGGTGGAAGGTCGGGTCGCCGAGCGAGTGGTAGATGAAGGTGATGCTGAGGGCGAGGGCGGAGAGGAGCAGGCCGTAGAGGGTTGCGATGGCGGGCGGTTTGCCGTTGGAGAGGGAGGCTACGGGGGGGAGGGCTTGTTAGATGGTGTTCTTGGGAGGAATTGAGCTCAGGGAGTAGGAGGAAGCTTACCCCACGCCATCAAACAGGTTGTATATATCATACTCAGCTCATCCACCAACTGCATGGAATCTACTCTCCACACCACCCATTAGCCCTCATCCTCTTCCCTCTCCCCAAAACCCCCCTCCCTCTCCCCCAATCCCCCTCCCCCTCTTCTCTCTCCCTTTCCCCCCTCCCCCCCGTCACCCCCCAAGAAAGCAAGAAGAAACCTACACCACAACGTCGCATGAAACAAAAAGCTCCCTACGCCCACACACAGATACCCGCCAAACGTAACCGCAAAGATCACATCGTGGCGCTCGGTCCAGCAGTTGCGCAGCCCCTTGACGGCCAGCCACACAAACACGGCGTTGGTGACGCTGTTGACAATCTCGGCGCAGTAGCGCGTGAGGTAGTAGTCTTCTTCGCACCAGCTTTTGTTGTGTGTTAGTTTGAGGTTGAGGAAGAAGAAGGAGGAGGAGGAGGAGGAAAGGATTGGGGAGGATTGGGGAGGGGAGGATTGGGGAGGGGAGAGGGGAGAATACTTGAGTGTTGCCGTCTCGGGGCCCCAGTGGTGGTGCTTTTCGGCGGGGTAGGGATGGACCAATACATCTCTTCTCTCTCTCTCTGACTCCGTCTCTGTCTCCGTTGTATAGGTATTCTCCACCCGAGAGGAAGGCGTGTGTAGGCAGCAGCTCAGTAGGTAAATATCGTAGATAGGTAAATAGGTAAATAGAGTCGACCACCAGCCAACTAACAACCCAACCTAACCAAAGCAAGCAAGAAGCAGGGTCAAAAAAAAAAAAAAAAGTTAGGTATCAACCAATGACGCAACAGGCACCAAAACGACAAGTCAACCCTTGGATTCGACCGACGTCAACGTTGTAGTTGACAACACCAGAGAACAACACCCCCCCTTATGTACCCCACAAACCTCAGTCCTCTCCCTTCTCCAGGCGGCCTTCTCCGTGGGCATTTGTAAACACGGCGGACCTCGTGGAGATACCGCCTGAGGCGAGGCGAGGGGGGGCGGAACGAACGGACTTTAGCTTTTAAGACTGGATTGACCCCGGTCCCCAGTCACGGGAGTGCAGGGGAGTGCAGGTGCTGGCCCAATCGATGGTTTTTGTTTGGATGGATAGATCGGCACCTCCGGATGCCCGTGCTTGTCTCGCCGGTCCGGGACTCTATTCCGACCTCACCAGCCGTCGCGCCGCCCTCGTCAGGACCCAGATCGATATGATATGGTGGTGGTGGTCATCACGAAATGGAATGGAATGCAATGAAGAGGAACAATAAGAACAGATAACAATACGTTTATCATTGGTATAAGTTGAGATGCTTCTTTCCCCCTACAATAATAGATATCTTTTCCTCCCGGGAGAGTTGAATTCCCCTTTAGTTTTTTATCATTTATTCCCCCATGCGCCCGCTTTTGTTAAAAAATGAACTGCCCGTAACTCCAAAATATTCCCCATTATAATCATCATGTCTTTCTTCCCCCTACCCTTGCATTGCGGCATGCACTTATTTGCTCTTCTGGGCCCTGGTGCGCTCGCGCTTGGCATAGATCTCGGCGGTGAAGGGGCTGGGAGGGGTTTTCACATGTCAGCATAACTATCTTTCGGCGGGTTTCAAGACTTTGTGGGGGGGGGATTGAGCATACTCTTCATAGGTCAAAGCCACCTTGTACACCACAAAGACCAATGCGGTCAACAAGATACCAGCTGGCTTTGCGAACCAGAGCGCTGTCGCCAAGAACGACAGAGTTGAACCATAGTACATTGGCGCATCCGTGATGTTGAACGGGAAGCAAGTAACACGGGCGTCCATAAGGATCCCAAAGTAGTCACCTTAATTTAAGAAAGTGATCGAGTTAGCACTATCAATCATGTGGTCTGCTTGGACCCCGTCCTCCCCCGCGCCCCGCAAAAACGCAAAAAAAAATGCACAAAAAACTGGGGAAGTCGGTGCGTACCAAGATAGGTACCGGTCAGACCCAATGCCCACATGGATGACAAAACGAGAACATTCCCGGCCAAGAACATTCCACCGGCGGCCATCTTGACAGTGTCCGTCTGCAGCACATCGAGCGCTGGTTGATCGCGGAGAGCGCGCTCATAACTATATCAGAGGTTCAATTAATATCGAATTCGCGTATATCTCGCTTGCGGGCCCAAGAACAACTCACATAGTATCACGGAGGATCCCAATTCCGAAGATCACCACCGCGAGGAAGTAGCATCCATACCGCGAGTTTCCTCCAAAAAGCTTGGTAAGGACTTTGTTGTGGTATTCTATAATTTTTTTGGCGTTAATCTCGGCCTTCCTCAACTACCTACATACTCCGCTTTTTAAAGGGCCAGTAAGACGAACCTTGTCTTGCAACGACGCTGTAAATTATCACATGTCAGCCGTGGTTCAACACAAGGCAATTACTCTCAACGGCGGCGTGGAACATACTTCCAGAATATAGGATTGAATGCAATAGATCCAGCAGCGACTGAAAAAGCACCATTTATCAGTTATAAAACTCCCAAGTATTATCCTCATAGGGCAAAACCCATACCAAGCAGGCTTTGCTGGTTGAAATCAACCAGGTCTGTGATAGATGAAGTAGCGAACGCTTTGGTAGACATTTTGATTCGTGGAATGCGTGATAATGGAGGGGGGGGGGGAACTGGGGGTGGCGAAATCAAGCTGCTTAAAAAGAATAGAGCCCGTTTGAAAGAGGACAACTCAGCCAGTGGGTGGGCAAGGTGTTCGTGTTGGGAGTTGAATTGTTGAGTCTTGGTACCACAGGGTTAGGTTTAGGCACACCTCAGCTCGGGCCAGTACTTGGCTACTTGGCATGGCGCTGCGTTGTCGGGGTAGTGGAGCCGCAACTCGGCACATGTGTCACGTTGTCCTTAACGAGGGCCCTTGAATGGCTGGATTGTGCGCCTTCCGAGAGCAGGGACGGTAGAGTAGAACGCTAGTGCTGCCCGTAGACGATACTCTAACACAGATGTGAAAATTCGGTCTTATGCATCATTGATAGCAATGGTAAACAGCATAACCTGAAGTGTTGTAGAGGGTTCTGAACAAGAATATCTTGTATAGTATACATATCTTCTTTAGAATCGGAAAATATAAGCCATCGAGCAGCTGTACCAGCGGTACGGGCTACATGTACATACGTACACTTAAGCCGAAGAACTTTCACAGTTGGATACTGACCAAGCCACCGGCTCCCTAAAACGTTAACTAGCACGATGAATTGAGAGTAATTACTATTGTTTACCAATTTCACTTAGGGAGCCTTGTGAGATAGGCTTCACGAGAATTTACGACCGGTTGCGTTAGGCCGAAATTGTATATATGGGCTAAGCAATATGCAACATGAGCACGACGCTACACCTTATATAGTTTGCGAGTGATGGTTTGATATTAACGGAACTTAGGAAGATATGAAGACCTTTCCGTTCTACAGCTTCAACCCTCTTAAAGTTTATCGTAATCCTCCCCATTCCTAGTAGATACTATAGTTACTGCAATATCGATTGTGAGTACGTATTCCAACCCAACTTTGTTTATTGGCTTTAGTTATTAAGCTTGATTAAAAGAAGAAGGTTAGGATGAACTATGCAATGGAGATTAAGACTTTTCCAAAATAGTAGAGTATTGGAAGGGTGTATGCCATGATCATATGAGTACGGGCGGTAGTATTAGATTTCAAATGATTTGTTGGCAGTGCACTGGTAACATAACTACAGCTCAATTTATAAACTTAATTTAAGAGCTGATGCCACGATTTTGCTACAATTCCCGATGTATTCCGCGTTCTTAAAGCACATAAAATAAAAAGACAAGGTCACATAAAATAAAGTGAAAAAGGTCAGGTAGTAAAGTTGAGCAGTTTGAGCAATGGACAACGTAGCTATAGCCAAATGTCCTATAAGCTCTAACTGTGATCCACTGTTTCCATGTTGAAGTTTGGGGAAATTTTATTTGGGAATGAAATTTTATCCGTAACGCACTTTTGGCTGAATAAAGCTGCGTTAAATTATGCAGTGAGGTAGAAAGCAAATCCTCAAAATACTGAATTGCAAGGGTCATAGAGCTTAAGGCGCTCCCACCACACAATTCCCTCGACGTGCGTACCAAGAGCGCCCATGTACTATTACATCATGCGCCCCAGTAGATACTCAGCCGCATATTCCCAAATGAGGTCTGTTTTGATCAGATCTTACAGCCTGGTGAGGGATCTCGTACGACCGCCGGTACTTTAGCTACGCCTCAATTTCGAGCCTGCCAGAGTGGCCCGTGCACGTAATATGTATGTATGATCCTTACCAGCGCGTGAGTGGGAGCCGACGACGTCTCTTTGCACATCGGCTCAGGATGAATCACTTGTGGAATGCACGCGTTCTAAACAGGCCTCTGGCAGAGGCTTCGAACCTATATTCAAAACCGACACAAGTGCAGATACTCGATGTTACGAGAGCGGCCGATGGAAAGATAGGGACATCGAGGGTGTTAGTGGCCGGCGAAGGCATGCAGTCATCGTTACCGGAACTTTCCAATGACACTGTTATTCGATGGATGTAAGTTCTAGCAAAAAACAAAAACTAACCAAAAGCCAAAAAATCCATGATGTACTAATTTCTTCAAGACATACAAGAACTGTCGACATGGACTTTGATATTCTTCTGGTAAGCGGCTTGGGCATAATGTACCATGGGTGATCAAATTAGCTCACAGTGTTTCAGAACTTTGCTCTCACTCATCAAGAATTCACAAAGGAAGACAGGGTATGCATGTATCAACTGTTGAGACAGTTTCGAGAGAACCAACAGCGCAGTTCAAATCACGGTAAATACTTCGAGCCAGCTTGTCTTCAACAGACTCAGCTCTTTGAAGGTAGGACTGACGCTTTCTAATCCTGATATATGTCTAGACCTTGGCTATTACTAGTTTCTATACGATACTTGTTCTCAGAGCTAAATAAATCTCTAAATTACAGAATCGGATACTAAGGCTCCCCCCCAGTTTATATCACTGCCTTATATTGCACTTGGTGACAATTCTAGCATATCCAACACATTCCTTCCTCTTCGAGACTATATGTACCCCACTAGATCGCTATTGCAATACCATTACCGCCGCGAGTCGTCGGCCCTGATTGCTAAAAGGGATTTGGAACAGACTTCTCGAAAACTGGCAGGTCCCGGTTCACGTAAACTGGTCGTTGTCAAAAACCTATGGATACTAATGTTGAATGAGTGTAAGTGCTTACGACTCAAAACTTGGCAGCTTTCGATATCTGATAATATCCTTTATTAGCAACAATGATTACTGTCTCACCAACTGATGGTGAACATATTTGGTCAGAGTTGGGGTTGATCAGCAAGCCATATTCTTTACAATCTGAGCGCAGAACCTCAAATCTCTGGGAGACTTTGGATTTACTTGCAGATAGGCTCCAGCAAAGGATTTCGTCTGCAATTGACGAACTAGAATATCTTCTCTCGTACCAACGATGGTTCAGAACATCACTTCCAGCCTCCTTTGCCAATCGGGTGGGAGGAGATTCATCAAATTCTGGAGGTTCCCTGACAGGATTTTGGGGATTTATGTTTTACGTAGGTTGATCAAGAAACTTAACTTGACACTCAAGTGGGCGTTGAGCTAATATCTAGAGTAGCTCATTAATCCAGAGTGGATTCTTAGGCTGCAACATCGATTTTCAACATTGGAAAGCTTCTTGGCTGGTAACAGAGCTCGGTTTGAAGGGCTTAGGCACATGGAAAGATCTGCAGTGTCTGCAGAGATTGAGCTACAATCGGAATCCCTTTATATGTCTCTTTATGAGGGTGTCGGCATATACCTTGACATATTCTCCAAAGTATGCAGGAAGAGCACAATAGCACTTTGTATGTCCTAGATAGGTCTCCATATAGCTGAAGTTGTCACCTGTATATGCGACGCTAACTTAGAATGATATCTACTCTAGTGTTTCCATCAAATAGAGAGCTACTGTGTAAAGTATGGTTAGACGTCAAACATCAATCGCAGCTATTCTTATGGAAAGTCTCGGCCATGGATTTAAATATTCAAGTGATGACAGCTACTGGCCTGTCTGAAACCGAACGGCGCCACGATATACCCACAGAGATTGAGCAACTTATGTTTCTCCTTGTGGATTCCTTGACCCCTGGAGACTCGACAGAATCAGCCTGCTCCCGAATCAGTGATATATATTCTCAGTACATCGCGCGACTGGTAAGTCTCCGACGGGGCTAGGTTGCGAGCACTATTCTTATACTAATGACGGAGCAGCAATTATGGATCCAACAAGAACCATCGAAGCATCATACTGGGAATATATATCAAATTCTGGAGGAGTTGGATATAATCAGTGGAATAGTTGAATCACAACGAAAAGTCGTGGAGCAGATGGTGAAGATCTTTCGTGAACAACAACTACCGAACCCGCGAAAAATATGTACGAGTGCAGAGAAAATGTCAATGTCCCCAGAAACACCCACAAAAACACTTCAAAAAATGCAACAGTTTCAGTCAGAGCTCCGTGAATACCAAAATTCTTGCTCTCGGCTTGCTACGCTGGTAAGGCATCCTTCTATTTAACGCAAAATACCTGATAATGCTGACAAGTCCATCTGATACAGGCTGCCCAAAGACAAAGTGATGCACGGATGGAAAATATAGGCAAAATAATACTCGTGCTCACTATCACTACGACAATTTTCTTGCCTCTTGTGTTTGTGAGTAATCTGTTTGGGATGAATGTGGTAGATATAAGAGAGATGAGGTCGGGACAATGGGTGTTCTGGGTATCTGCTCTTGGAGTGACTCTCATAGCTGGAATCTTCGCTCTGGTTATAGCGTTTTTTTGGCGAGGGTTTGATGCTGAAAGTAAGAGCTAGAGGTTTTGGCGGGTTTAGTGGACGTCGGAAGGGGGGTTAAAGATAATCTGAGGGGGAAATAGTTTGTATGTTTTAGCCATAGCCTGCGGCTGTGATACTATGACTTAGATGGAGTTTATTATTATTATTAATATTACTATAAATAGCGTATTTTCTAATGATTATCTAAATATGACATCCCTTTCCAACATGCATGCGGATTTAAGAAACTGATCGCTTTTCAAAGCGCATTATTACGTGTACATACTTGCCTTGAGTCCTATTTTACAACTTAAATTTCTGAACATGAACTAGTTTCTGTTATGCTACCCAGAATAACAAGCGCAGTAAATTACTTCACAAGCCTGCATGAAATCTCACTCGACAGATTCTAACGTTTCGCCTTGGCGGTCACGCAAATGGATGTTTACATAAGACAGACAGCCCACCACGAGTGACACAGCAACGGAACTACACAGGCCTGCAGCACCACAACGTCTCTCCCCGCTGTCACGCCGTCAATCCACCAAACCGCCTCCCCCACCAACCGCAACAATGTCGATGCCCAATGAAGCCCTCCAAAAGGTTTGACATTCTCCCCGAACAAGGTTATAATCATAGATAAGAAAAAGAGAAAAAAGCAAACGACTAACCAACAACTGCGCGCAGTTGATGCAAGAGATCGAAGCAAGAGCAATCTTCTCCCAGCAGCAACTCCAAATCGTAAAGTCGCAAATGGCCGGAAAGCATCGCGACATCCGATTACTCCAGTTGACATCCCGGGAGCTCGATACGCTGCCTCCGTCAACCAAGGTTTACGAAGGCGTTGGGAAAATGTGCGTGCGGAGATAGCCCCCCCGGCGGTGAGATGTGGATAAGCAGAGCGGAAGCTAACGGGTGCGATACACGAGTACAGGTTCGTGTTGGAGGAGCTTTCGGATATTCAGAAGCGCCTCGAGGATGAGAAGAAGAGTTCGGAAGGCGACATCAAAGATCTCGAGAAGAAATTCCGATACCTTGAGACCACATATGAAAAGGCTCAGGACAACATCAATCAGATCCTCAACCGAGGGAGATAAAAAGATAAGGCAGAGTAGGAATATAGGCATAAGTAGTTAATCGGAAACAGTGATGATCAGGGGCTAAGGACGATGGCGATGGGGATAAGAAACATGGCTGAAGTAGCCGCTGAACGAAAAAAAGGCAGCAAAAACTGAAATGTTCTTGATGAATAAATTGGAAACTCACACCCCCCTCGAGTGAATGGTTTGCAGTTTTTTGGTGGGTGCTTCCGAGGATCGGTGGTACGGACAGATGAATCATGATATTGAGAATAGGGCTACCGGAAGAGCAAACAGCGGAAACAGCAGTGGTTTCGAGAGAGCAGCTACGTTGGCACCCCCACTGCTCCTCTGAGGATGTCTATTACCCACATACCACCTCTCCTTTGTATCTCTTTAATTACTACTCTTAATAGTACAAGCTTAATGCTTAGATAGAACGCATTGACTTTTTCGACAATGCCTAATTATCATTACCCCCCCTTCAAACAAGCTATATATCTGGAACATAGCATAAGTGAATGCGTGTACTCCTTATTACTTAAAGAGCATGAAGGTATATTTAACCCACATATCCCACCAAAGTACTTCCTCCCGAAGTAATTCATATTCTCAAGAGTGTCGTTGGTAGCCTAGCCACGCTCCCGGGGAAGAGTAAAGTACTCTACATAGAGTTCATGCAGCCTTAGCCATATTCTAAATCCTACTGTGGCTTGCAAGAAATGGCCCTGGTATCTTCTACTCTGCTCTACCGGGTTGGCCTGGAGGCCAACACACGATCCTCGGATATTCACCTCGAAAGCACGTAGAAAACCATCAAAGAGCACAATAGGTATGATAGAGTAGGTACTTACTCATGGAGTGGAGTGGAGGTGTTTTGTTGGTGATCTCGCATTGTTAACGTGCATACGATATGCTGTTAGATGTTGGTGCGCACCAAATTAATAAAGAGAGCTTATGTACGACGCAAAGACAGCGGCCACTAGAGCAGAGTATGCAAGCCCACTCAACCCACGCAGATAAACACGACGGTTCATAGGGTTGCCTAGAGCAGGTACCTCCCTGCCTAGCCAGCTTCATCTTGCCTGCCCTATGCGACGTCCAGGAACCCAGATGGCAGCATCCGAGTCGTTGATATTATCGATGTCGACTCTGCAGCTGTAGGTACTAGCTGCTGGGTTTCCAGAATTCCCTCATCCATGTTTCTGGAAGCTCTGTCTGACTGAGCTCTGTCTGACTGTTTACATACCCCAAACAATATCGTACGCATGCACAGGGAACATGAAGAAAAGCAGAATGACTTTTTTTTCTTCATAAAAAGGACACGAGATTTTCTTGTGCATGAATTCCCGGGCATGTGGGCTAGCTAGGTGTAACGTTGACGGGCAAGTGGCAACCACCTTCACACATCCTAGCTTACATATATTCTTTCACCAGCCAAGTGGATTCACGTTCAACGTCCTCTTTTTTTTTTTCTTCTCTCTTTTTTTCCTTTGTTGATCAGGAGGGGAAATAAAAATTTAATAGTCTTGACAACACACAACCCGGCGGCCGCGCAGCATCGAAAACGTTCAACCGTCGCCGCCTGCCGTGTAGTAGAGTTGCAAGTGTGCCTGAATACGGTAAAGTTTGCTACGGAATGCTTTTTTTTTTTTTAGTTGTTTTGTGGGGATATCTGGGATCATCGCAAAAGTAATCTCGCCATCTTCAAACAGTATATTCTGATTCGCAACACCTCGATAATATGATATGAACTTACTACTTGGCCATCTTGAAGGCCCGCACCTCAAAAGAAAATGAATCGTTCTCACCACAGCCCATCGAGCTATCTAGGTAAGTACTACCAGCTTCAGACGACCGTTGCGTGCGTAACCTCGGGAATCAACATCCAACCAATCCCCCAACCGATATCTGCATCTACCCGTAATCGTCCAAATCGACATTGGATTATTGCATCTCAGACAGCCAGACATGCTGCTGCTGTGAGGATGCAGAGATAACGAGAGAGTAACTCGGATCTCGGGTCTCTGTCCGAATCTAGAGTTTCTCGTTATTTCTTCTTTGACCACCGACGACGACAACGACGACAACGACGACTCTCTGAATTAAAAGCCGAATCGAGGGTTCGAGGTTTAGGGATGGTTGTACTATTATAATCTTGGCAGCTGCCGAAAAGCGGACAACACAGAAGGGCCCGACTGCTAGCTAGCACATTGTTAGGGGGACCTAAAAAGTCTGCAAGTGTGGCGTTTGTCTGCTAGGTAGCTATAGGTACTCTATGACCCTGCAAAGTATTATAACGGCAATACAGATATCTATGTAGGTACTCCAGAGGCATAGAGTAGGGTTGACATTGTCGTAGACGCAATCAAGATCGACATCTAAGATATCGTGCTCTGACAGGCCATAAGGCGGGGAAGAAACACTGTGGGAGTTCCACATAGAGTAACAAAAATGTATATCCTACGTGCCTATAGATTACGTTTCCCCTGATCGACCACCCTTCTTAGTACTCTACCAGTGGTATGGGGGGACCAGAAAGAGTGGGCGCTTCTGGCGCTTGGTTCAGGTGCAGTCGAAATGCTAATAAAGTTTAGTTGGGATTGTTTATGATAGGCGCGTAGAGTAGGTAGACCTACTGAAACCGCCATGTGGATTGTGGAGAAGGTCACAGTATCCTAGGAAAATCAATCACAGTGGCCAATCTATCTAGGCATGTTTCGGAAAAACTTCCGTGCTTCTGAAAGGTTGTTCCCTTGCATGCAGGATGCTGGTAGAGTGCTCTTAGCTCTATGTAGAATTTTTTTGGTGGGAGGGATCCCTGGTTGATGGTATTCTACTTTCGGAGATCAGCAGAAGAGATTTGTGGTTGACAAGTTGCAAAATAAAAAGCTTGATGAGCTGTTCGCAAGGAGAAAAAGAAAAAAAGAAAGTAAGAAAAAATCAGATGTTTCCAACTTAGTGACTTGTTTATCTGATTGTATTGGAAAGTGTTTACCCTGTATGCATGTAGCTAAAACACCGGACACTAGATGTTCAACACTACATGTATTTTTGACATCATTGGCCCCGAAGCTCCCGTACTTTTGGGATGTCGGATCATTTCTTGCTAACGCAATGTGGAACGTCCATCCACGGTTATTACCAGGTAGCTGCAGTACCAAAGATATCATCTGATCTGTAAATTTCGCACCTGAGGCGGAAGAATTCAAGAGAAGCTACCTACCTACATGAAATTGCCGTTGTTGTTCGGTCATCTTATCACACTTGAACTTTTTCATAAGGAAGCAGGTAGTCTTTTGACAACGAAAAAGAGAATGGAAGAAAAAAAAAATCATTCTCAAACACTACCTCCTGTTTTTGTAGCATTATATCCCTCAACTGCGTCAACTAGCACCCTAAGGTGTTCGTGCATCCGTCGGCGAATCTCGTCAGAGGATAATGTCCTCCGATATCTACATTCACGAGAATGTTAATATTCGCCAGAAAGCATAATTCGTTACGTCTTGTGGCGGGGCCCCGGAGGGGGGGGGGGGGGGGGCTTTCTTGATAGTTCTCTCTTCCAACTAGGTGATTTCCATGGGGACCGTTGAAATCACAGCTAGTGCAATAATGAATTGAAACAGAAGTTCTGATTGCTGTCGAACCCAACTGGTTGACCCCAGATTGTTTCCATATCTCAAGCAGTCCTCCCGCAATTGGTTGGGCGCCCAGCAATGAGCGAGCGAATCGATAAAGTCAACTTGGGTTCAAAGGGAAGAATGAAATATTTGAGGCAGCGATGCAGCGGCAGTTCCCCGTGATACACGCAGGCAAGCAAGGAATTGTTACGTGCGATCAAAGCTCCTCACGTGGATCGCCTCAGTACGTACTCCAACTTTCGTGTAAGTAAACTGCAGTGCACTGCAGAGCACATCTGCAGTCAGGAGCGGTTGGAGACGAAGCCTCCGGGTTTCGGATGGTATTCCTACCTACATACTTACTACCTACACATGTGACATAGCTAATACTCAGCCGGTATTATAGTTGGTGATTCCCCTCGTGATATGTACTTGTCCGTTTGCGTTCCATTTCTCTCTGTGGTCAAATCAACGGGTCCAGTCCATATTGGATTGGATTGCACAGCATATATGCCTGCCCCCTTTGGCCCAAGCCCTAACTTGACCTTTTCGGTCACAAGGAATAGCAAGAAGGGATCAATCTATTCCCAATCAGTGCCTGACATGTCAAGACGGCAAGTTTCAGATAATGACGAGCCAGTTAGAACCTACTGCGTGCCTCGGCTTAGACTGGGCCGGACTACTTAGATAGAGTAGCTGGACGGCTTGTAGGTGCAGTTTATTTTGGGGGAGAGAAAAAAATACTTGGGATGCTCGAAATAAGAGTTTTCAGAAGTGAAGAATGATCAACAAAGCACGTACATTCAAAATGTCGCCACACTCTTGTTCCTAGTTTAAGCCTTGGTCTAGGCTTAACCTCCCTTCCTTGTACTTCAAGGATATTTGCTGTAGCCTCTGCACGAAGAGCCGATGAGAAGAAGAAAAATATAGAGCACCACATCTACCATGCTCTACACCTGCAGACTGCGCAGAGAAAGGGGAGGCTTCAGTACTCGGCATTGCCACATGGAAAGGGGGAAAAAAAAAACAAGAATTTTTAAAGGGACAGCCACCACGTTGGTAGTCGGGAATCGAGTCGCTGTCTGTAACTTCAATGCAATGGTTCCAATTGATTACGACCATATAGATACGTAGATTGTATGTGTGGAGAGATTCAAGTTCGCCTTATCTATGGATATAGACTGTAGTTACACGGCATTCTTGGGCGGCGAGTCGGGTGCTTGAACTATCGTGAATATGTCAGGGCTCGTGTTCTTTACTGAGTTGAGTACATGTAGTTCTGGGCAGGTAAAGAGACACCTAGGGACATAGGGCCCGTGATGAGAAATTCCCTTGGCATCCATCTAAGGAGCGCGGTAAACTTGAGGCTCTGCTTAGCGGTCCACCAAACCTTTCCGAAACTTGTGTGAAACTGTATTTAGACCCAACCCCGCGCGATTTTGGCGTCTAAGCAATATTGGCGTTTACTTTGTCGCTGAACTGCGACTGTCTATATCTATCAACACCGGTTTTTCTTTTTGGGCAATCGATCTGAAAAGAGAGAATGATAGGTACCCATGTTTCATAGAAAGTATTAACTACTCTCAACGTTTTTTTTTTGTGGCGGACTTATGATAGATGTTACTGTAAGGCACCCGCAGATATGTAGGTTGATTTGGTACAGTATGTGAGGCAGTGGCATTTGTAGACTCACAAAAACAATACAGTACCGTATGTATGCAAAGTGTAGCGTAGAGCAGTGACAACCGTCAGCGACTCTCTCGGAAAAACCCAACAGCTAAAAAAGGCTCAATTGTGAATGGTACAGTGGACCAGAAGGGGCCATTTTTCATCAATTTTTCGCATGTTGATTCGCTGCATGAACACATCTAGTTCAGTACTGACGTCTGCGGGGGATCCAAGATCGCGATTGTTTCCTCCATTCTGTGCCCCTCCAGCGCCAGCATACAGTTGAGTCATAAATAACCACCTTCCCTGCAGTACGGTACCGCCCCACCTGTGATGCTTGGCCTATTTTTTATGCCTCCGCTAAGCGTGACACCAAAGTCCAAAGGAGTTTATGTACCTACCTACTTCATGTAAACTGTAGTTAGCTAGTTAGTACGCACATAGAGCATGTAGGTGAGCATCAGCTAATGAGCCTCCCCAGAAGATGGATCTCAACAAACTGCTTTCTGTCCGGCAGTTTGGGTAGAAGTAACAGTAGAGTTTACTGGGGTCTCATTTTAAATTTGAGAGAAGACATAAAGGATTAGTTTGCCATAGAGTCGAATGAGGGTACCTACATATTGATTCCACTACTGCATATAGTGGTATGTGCATACCTATGCCTAGGACCAGTAACGTTTAAGGGTGTGAAGGAGGTCACAAGTGTATGAGAAGGGGGGGGGGGGGTTTCAATTAATTTCTGGGGGCGGTGGGAGGGTGGAGGAGGTCTAGAGTAGGTACATCGTAGAGATGGCCTGGGGCGGAGGAGGGAGGGGTACTGGGTGCTGGCCAGTGGTTGGTACCGTTTGGTATTTTTGCTGCAGCTTCTCGCTGCTTCCGTGCCAGCGCTGACCTACCAAAGTGCAGCAGACATTTCCCCTCTCTGTGAAGCTTCGCCGCTGTGGTGTGTGTGTGCGTGTGTGTGTGTGTGTGTGTGTGACAGGAATCGTTAAAAGGCCCCCATCACCCTCTTGCTTTCTGATTTCCCCTCTCCCCTCATCATCCCTCCGTTCTGTCTGTGGGAGTTGTCTCTACTTCGCAACGCTTAAGTACTGATTGATAGCCCCGAACTAATTACCATCGCTTACCCAACCGCCCAACTACCAACTGATCCACAAAGTCTACTCTACTACAAAGATCTACAGCAACAATAACAGGGTTTTTTTTGGGGGTGACTGCGTGACTACACGGCCCTCTTACCTCGCAAGAAACAGTAAATACTTTTTTGTCCAGTGACATCCCCCCCTTATCTCATCTTACCCCACTCCCACAACCCCCCACAAACACGCCGATATGGCCGACTGGCCGCATGCTGGCGCCAGCTACAGCGCCCCCTTCCAGTCTCCCTATGTCAACCAGTCTTATGCTGCTCCTCCCCCAGCGCCAATGCCCAGCCAGTACGAATACCCGCAGAGCCCCGACATCCGCTATGCCGAACCTGGTTCCCCCATTGTGTACCCGGTATCACCAGTAGGATCCCCACCTCGCTCCCGCGATAGCTCTCGGCCAAGGCCCAGCTCCTTTGGGGCGGAGCCGTACATTCACGTTCCGGATGACCGTGGGCGAGAGAGAATGTATCACACTAGCCACCTGTCGATTGTTAGCCATGGGGCTGGCAGCCAAGCCTTGTCCCGCTCAGCCTCAGAGCGCTCACGCCGTTACGTTGACGTGGCTAAAACCGGTAGCACCAGAGGCCGTCAACGTTCGCCCAGCGTTAGCTACTATTACGATGGCAGAGATGGAGGAAAGAAGTATACCCGCGATGCTCCAGGGTCTACTTACAGCAACTCCTCGTACGGGTCCCGGTCTCATTCAAGGGCCCGTCACTCAAGATCCCCGTCTTGTGATTCGTGCGGGTCCGGCTGCGAAGGAGAGCATCATACTACTAGCCAGGTTGTCGTCCATTCGGCTGCAAACAGTCTGGCTGAGGAGGTCCGTAAGTTACAGTTGCAGCTAGAGGAAGTCAAGCTAGAAAAGGAAAGGAAGCACAGGGAGGAGGAGGAGAACAAGAGCAGGGAGATAGTTGTCCAGGCCAGGGTCCGCGAAACCATGGCCGAGCAAAAACAGAGAGAGCACCAAGAACGATTGCGAGAAACCGAGATCGAGCGAAAGGTTTCCGAGAAACTTGCGGCCAAGACTCGCGAGGAGCAGGAAGCGAGGGCCAGAGAGGCGGCCGAGAATGCCAAAATCGCGGCGGCGGCCGAGAAGCTTTTGAGAGATCGAACGGCTGCAGAAGAAAAGAAGAAAGCAGAGGAGGCGGCTGCCGAGGAAAAGATGAGGCTCATCGTTGAGGAACGGATCAAAAAAATGCAGCCGCCCCCGCAGCCCGCGCCGCGTCTAACATACACCAAGTTCTCCAAAGTCCATCTTTGCAAGGAGGCTTTGGATGAGCGTAACATTGGCTACACGGAAGAGGTAAGGCGTGACCCAACCCGGTCTTGATACAATATGATCGTTTCTAATAATCTGTCAATTTATTACCTATAGTCCGAGCACTTCCTTGTTCATAGAGTTGTCGACAAAAACGAGCAGAATTACCTCTGGGCCCGCACCAAGGAAATTAGGAGTAAGTGACTCGAATGTTTTTGAATATACATTTATATATAGTCAAGCTAACGTTCTCCCGCAAAAAGATTACTACCGGCAAATTCAAGAAGCCGCAGACCAAGCTCCCACTGTCCGCACAAAAGAAGGCGACTATGTCAAATACGTACAAATTGCTGGCCAGCCGTACCCGATCGCCCTCCCAGTGACTTTCACCCGGACTCCCGGTGGTGGCCAAACTCAACGGGTTGACCCTATCAAGATCAAGTGGTCCGACATTTTCAAGCCTTCAAAGTTCTAGGCTTGTGGATGTTATGCTATGGCAGTGATTGCGATAGCGATGAAGCTGCCACTGAGTATGGTTGCGGTTTTATGAGATAGCTGACCATTGGTGTATCACATATCTCTTTCATTTGTTCACCCTTGGTGGATGATTTGATGCCGGTTTTTGTTATGGGCGGCGGGGGATCTAGGAGTTCTTTTTATTTTCTATTTTACATTTTTCAGTACTGGGGGGTTGGATTGTCATGGTAGTGGGGAGGGAGGCATATTTCGTCGATATCTTATGGTTTCATGATATGGTGCTCATCAGCAAACTTTTCTTTTTCCCTGGAAGCCTCATCGATCTGTTGTTTTGCTAGATATCCTTTGTTTCTCAAAATCGCGTAAAACAGAACCTTGATATTTTGTTTTTTCACTATTATCCATCTGTACTCTTACCCGGCGGCTGAAAAAAACAAAGAAATCAGCCTGCGGTGAAGCTCTCGCTTTTCATATGTGAAAAAAAGCAAAAATCCGGTCCAGGGCTAAAGTTGAGGAAGGGGGAGGTCGATGTTGACCATGATCTCAGGGACTTTTGTCGATTGCGTGGTCGGTGGGGGTTGTGCTTCTAGAGCCAAGGGAAAACGTTCACCATCCCCCTCCCTTGTCGTTGTATATAGGTACTATTCCACACTCCTTAGACATAGCGATCATAATGCGTATGCTTCACCTATCCACTCTATCTGGCTGCCCGCTCTAGAGGCTACCCAGTTTCCTTCTTTTCAGATGATGTGATTCAGGTTCAGCCTCAGCGTTCCCACACACACCCTTGGCCGGGGGAGGGGGAGGGGGAGGGGGAGGAGGGGGAGCTCGAAGCGCCGCGCAGCGTCAGCAGACAGATATGCAATGCAACGAGTGCAGGCCGGCCGGTGGTGTGCTCTAGCCTACTCTATTCGGTGGTGGAGGTGGTTTACTCTATTTTTGCATGTTGACGTGCGGGGAGGGGGTTGGACACGGCACGTGACGTGATACGATATCGGTGGTTGGTTGGGTTAGGGTTTATTGGCGAGTGATTGGTGGTGATAAAACTAGGCGCGGCGCTAGCAACCAACGGGCGTGTATGGTATGTGCCAAGCTTTGGGATTGTTTACCTCTAATCATTTCTAATTACTAGAGTACATATATATAGGTACATACTTCGCTTTTGCGATATGACACCATGTGGAAAGGGGATCGCAGCCTCTATGATGGTGGACTAACAGACTAGACTGCAGTAATCATGCCTCACACTGGTTTCTAGGATTCAAAAGGACGGCCAATGAAAATAGCAGCGAGTGCTAATTGGTTGGATAGGGACCAAACGTTTTACTCGAGCATGGCGTGTTCGAATCCCTTTGCGATTTGGCCGATATTTGTGCTCTTGAAAGACTGCCGACAAGGCGTAGGTAGGTATGTAGGTACACTTTCTGGGTGAGATGATAATACCGACACTCCGCTGTCTACAGTGCATGCACGGTAGTTAGTGGTCAGTGCGATGACGGCGGTGGCGGTGAGCTCAACAGACACGCGCAGGATCGAAGGGCCTCATCTTTAATCTTAGTTTTGCATGATGTGGGGTAAGAGCTATCTAGAACTTCGAGTCGCCCATGTCGCCCATCAAATATATGATGCCAAGCCCTCTTCGAAACGGAAACTTATCCGAAACACCCAGGAGGGCCACTGTTGGTGTGTGCGAGGTAGAGGACCAATAGCTATTACCATTATCCTGGTGAGGTCATCCAGCTGCTTAAGTCAGTTGAGTGTTTACCCCACTAAATATTGCCAAGCATAATACATAAAAAACGCATTGAAATCGTGGGGGGTACGTAGAATAGCCTGCTGAGAAATAGCAGCCCAATACTAGACCGAGTACACCTTTGGTGAGAATGCAAGTACCTGTGCCAAGAATCCTATCTCATCTCTAAGGATCTACTCCGAATGATGGCCTTCATTATATAGATTAGATAAGATTCTCGCTACAGGACAATCAATATGTTTATACCTGGCACTAACTCCTGCATGCACCAGGGCACGCAAGTCTTCTATCGTGCATAACGACCACTCACCAAACTCGTTGTTTTATTTTGCTTGACCTCCGTTAGCGAGGAGAAATTAAAGGTCCGCTTGGGAGCTGGCCTCGTAGAAAACAGCGTTTCGGTGGTCCTCCGTTAGTGGGTGGGAAACGGAGAAATTTCGAAACAGAGTTTCAAGCGAAAAGTAAACCCTAACTGCTTGTTGGAAATCTCCGTTTTCATGGAGTTAACGTTGTTTTCTGGCCCATAGAATGGGTCGCTAAACACAGCCCATTTTCTCAGAATGGAGTTTCCGCCAGAACGAAGTTTTAAACCCCCATAACTCCGTTTTGGATGGCTCCCAAACGGGCCCTAGACGGAGATGATAGCAACGTCGATGGTAGGGTTAGTGGTTGCATTGGTAGCCAGTGGTTATTGTGGGTACTGTGGGAAAAGCTGGTACTAGGAGTTAATTGCTTATTTGATGGAGTTAACGAGTTAACGTTGCTTTAATATCTGGACCCGCAAAGACTATTCGTTTTCTCAGAACGGAGTTTTAGCCAGAACTCTATTTTGGGCCACTACCAAACGGGCCCTTAGTATGTCATGTAGACGATCGATGCTCCCAATGACTTTCGTGGTCGCAGGCAAAAAAATCATTTAGAATTTTATAGAGAACTGGAACGTCTTGTGTCATGTTCTTGATTGGAACCGCAGCTGATGGTATTGAGAAGAATGAACTGAAATGTAGGTTGAGAACAAAATACACTTAAAGAACGAACCAGGACCTGAAGTCTTGTGCCTGCAACCGTGTCATAATAAGTGTCCTCTCATACCTTCTCACTACATGTAATCACCATTGAAGAGCTCCACTGTTCCCTTATTTTCCATCGTTCTCCTCTACTATTACAAGTGCTAATTACTTTGCAGTTTCATCGGACTCTCATGATCACGCTGTCTCGCATTAGACAAAGCTCAAAGGTCATTCACCAATCGCCTCAGTTGGCCAATAGGCTATCCGGTTGGTCAATAAACCACATCCTCGACTAGGACGGAACATATATATGCAAAAGCACTAGACTGCAGCGATAGCTAATACCCACTCCTTTTATTCCCAGATAGCCACGGGCCAAGCATATAGTATCCAAGCGGGCAACCAGAGAACCCTAGGCCTTAGTGTGCCCCTGCCACCGGCACCCTGAACAATTCCCGAAACATCACAAACTCATAACCCTTATATATACTCGACACCATATTTTGGCCTCACCCCTCCCCCCCGCTACCGCAGTGTAGGCCGGAAAGATGAGCTACGCTACGACACAGATACCCCCAAGCATACTAGGCCCAGGTTGGTGCTATATACCACGGCCACGAGCAGCGTGGGTCGGATACTTATTTTGCTACGACTACTGGGCACCGAACTCTTACCAAGGCCTGGACGAACGGTTGAGAATGTATACGAGAGAGCCAAACGAAGCTTGCATGCAATTGAAGAGACTCAGAGAGGGTATTTAATAGCTCTACGAAGAATAAAGGGTCGTGCACTATAATGTCAAAGTGGAGGAAAAACTCTACATGTTAAATCGCGTATGGAAACCTAGATATACGGGGGTGCTGGTTTGGTGTTTTGAGCCATGAGCTTCTGAGCTGCTGTGATCTCAGCCTGTCTTGGCCTGGCTACAGGCATAGTTGCAATAATCGGGCTGCGTTCAACACGAACAATGTCGTTTTTGGAATGTGTTCACTACAGCTGTGCCAAGCGACTTCGCGCTGCGTCTCGATAAGTCAATGATAACAACGACAACAACAACAAGATAGCGCTAGCAGCTAGTTGGGGTACTAGTCGATCTCGTGCCAACATCGAGTGATGCACCATGATTAGTTCTGTAGCTAGGGGAAATGATTTACTCTTATTTTTATCCCGTTAATGAGATGAGACGATATGTCTATACGTTATTTGTATTCCCTGCGTGCAACAAAGGATGATTCTCTGCCAAAATATGGATGGGCCCGTTGTGAGGCGTTACGGATGGTCTTTGGGGAGGCTTGAAATTTGGCTGGTCTGTTATCGGAGGTTTTAAGATGGACATATTGATATTGTCAAGGCGATGATAAACAGGCCCCTTGAACACAACATGACGAGTGATCCAGATGGGATATCGCACTTATCACGTTACAAGCCAGACCACCTAACCAGCCCACAACCCGCAACCAACATCTCGATCTCACAATCACCTCTCTACACAACCCTCTACAGCACACCTGAATTACAGCTACAAAGTTACGCAAAGCCCAGAATCCACGCTCTCTATTGCGCTATACCTTTACCTACTTCTCCCCTAACCACCACCACCACCACCACCACTATAATTATCTACACCTACTTACAACTCCTCCACCACCTTCCCCCCCTCCTCCACCTCCCCAGTCGGCACCCACACCATGACCCCATTCTTATCCAACCCCACACCCTCACTGCCCGGACTCACCCTCAGCGTCTTATTAAAGTACCGATCCACAACCCTCAACGCAGGCCTCACCCACACGCCCTTCTCCCCTCCCCTCCTCTCCTCCTTCCCGCCCATCCCCTTCTTATCCCCCACCCCCTTCCCCCCCTTCCCTCTCTCCCCCTTCTCCCCCTTCTCCCCCTTCTCCCCCTTATCCTCCTCCTTCACACCCATCGCCGCCGCGTCCGCCCGATACACAAACAACCGATACCCCAGCGCGACCCTGGCCACGGGCAACACCTGCACCACCGTCTGCTTCGGCCCACTGAACGCAAACCCCTCACTCGCCTCCATCACCACGCTAAACGTCAAGAAATAATTCGTCGGGTTCTCAAGCACATACTGGAGATGTAGCACACCGGGCACATCCGCCTCGCCCGCCGCCGCCGTCGGTATCAGACTCGACGTCGTCCGTGCCCGCGCCCTGCCACCCAGCCTCTGCGGCACCCCCACCCCCCCCTCCTCCTCACCCGCCGCCACAGACGGCGACACAGGCGCAGGCGCCGACACCACGGCCGCCAGCACCCGCGGCTCACTCCCCGGCACGGGTAATCTTGGCACCGGCAGCAGCGTAGTATTCGTCACCTCCGGCCACTCCGGGCTCGTGTCCGTCCTCCGCCAGCTCAGACTCAGCGCCACATCCGCGCTCGCCGCGCGCCGGTCTTCAAGCGACATCTTCTGCACGTCGAGCAAGAAGGTCAGTGTCGCCGGCGCGCCACTATTCAGCGCCTTCGGCTGCCCCCCAGCGGCGGCGGCGTCAGCAACAACAGTTGCCACGATCCCGCCAGCTACCGCGTGGACGGGCAGTGCCCACTCCGTGAGCAGCAGCGTGCCCTCGCCCTGCGCGGCAATCGTGACGGTGAGCGCCCACCGCTGCGTTATCCCCAGCGGCTGCTCGGGGGCGAGGTCGTCAGGCAGCGAGAAGTAGTCGGGCCATGGGTCGGGGTGCACGCGCGGCGAGAAGTCGAAGGAGGTGCGGAAGGGGTTGATGACGGGCATTTCTGCGACGACGGGCTTTGAGATTGGTGTTTCGGGGTCAGAGACGAGGTGGTAGTGGGCGGTGATCTCGATGGCGCAGTCGGCGGGGATGGAGGGCGAGGGGAAGGTGAAGGTGCGCTTTGCGGAGGCGCCGGGTGGCAGGCGGCCAAGTGGGTAGTGCGCGGTTGTGGCGAGCTGTTCTGCTTCGGCGCTGGAGTCGGGGGAGAGCCAGGTTATCTTTGGTGCTGCGTTCACAATCCGAAGTCAGTATGCTACATACAGCCAATCACACCCCATCACTCGCAGCGGAAATGATCACGACGCCCGCAAAAAAAAAAAAAAAAAACAGCAAACAAGGGAGGGGCAAACTCACGCTCCTCCCCCGGCCACCCCAAGATCTTCACCTCAACGCCCACCACCGCCTCCTCATCCTCCCCATTACACGCGCCAAACTCAATCCTCACAATCTCATTCACATACACATCGCCCACGACCGCGCTGCGCGCCGTCACATCCATCTTTGGCGGCCTCGGCAATATCTCGACCCTGCCAGGCTCCACGGCCCTGAGCGGCTTCCTCCTCAACTCCGTCGTCCCCCCGCCTGCCGCCCCTAGGGGCGCTTCAATCCACCACGCCCCGCTCCCGCCGTTCGCCGTGACCTGCCGCCGCCGCGCGGCAGCGCTCGGAAGAATGTGCACGCCCCCCCCGCCTTCCTCCTCGTCCGCCTCGAGCATGAGCATAAAGTCCAGCTCGAACCCGTCCGACACGAACACGAACGTCGCGCAGACGGCCTTTGCGTCGCCGGCCTCGCGCAGGACGGCGGCGAGCTCGAAGACCTTGGTCTCGCCGGGGGCGAGGGTGAGGTCTGTGTCGGCGGCTAGGAACGAGGGTGCGTCGGGGGTTGTGTGTTGCTCCGTGAGCTTGTTTTTGAGGTCTAGTTTTGTCACTCTGCTGGTGGTGGTGGGGGGAGGGGGGACGCAGGAGGAGGAGTGGTGCAGGTGGATGGGCTTTAGGGGCCCCTCGAAGGTGAGCTTGAGTTCGGTGAAGGTGATGGGTGTGGAGGAGGGGTGGGCAGTAGAGGTGATGGAGAGCTGGGAGGTGATGAGGTCGCCGACGTGGATTTTGGGGGTGGAGAAGGTGTATGTTGCGGTTACTGTGAGGGATAGGAGGGTTAGCTGGTAGGTCTTGTTATACTTGCGTGAAGAAAAGGACTTATGAAAAAGAAGAGAGATATACGAAAGCTCACAACATCCCCTCCCCTCACCACCATCGTCGGCCGCACCTTCACCGCCTCAATCCCCTCCAGACACCTCCCAAGATCATACCTCCACCCCCTCCTCTCCCTAAACACCTCCCCACACAGCAGCTCCAACCCCGCAACCACCACGCTCCCCCCATCACCACTCATCCTCCCACACTCCACCACGCTCCACAGCACCTCCTCCAGCACCTCCCACCACCCCTCGCGCCTATACACGCCCGCGGCAGCCCTCAAATCCTTCAGCGCCTCCCCCCAGCCCACGCCGCTCCGCGCCGCCGCCGCCATCCGCAGCTTCGCAACACTATACACAACCCCACACGCCATCCTGCGCTGCCCGCGCGCCTCAAACTCGCGCCGCGCCAGACCCAGCAGCGCGATCCGGGGCCCCTCCCCCTCCCACACTACCTCCTCCGCCGGCGGCAGACACAGATATGTATCATAGCTACTCTCCTTCGCACCCACACTGACCCTCTTCCCGCGCTGCGCCCGCTCCCCGAGGTGCTCCGCGGCCGCGAGATAGTAGAACCCCGGATGGTGCAGGTAGTCCGCGGCGGCCATACGCTCGCCCACCCCACCGCCACCGCCGCCGCCGCCGCTCACGGCAGCAGACCCCTTCTCGCCACCCACATACAGCGCCTGCGCCTCGCGCGCCCCGTCCACATCCAGCAGGGACCCCCTCGCGGGCGGCACCAGCGGCGCCAACACGGCCAGATTCGCCGCCTGCAGCAGCTCCGCCAGACACCGATTCCACCGCGCCATCCACGCGCTGAACCCATACGTCTCCGTGCCCAGCCCCTTGCGGTCCAGCACGGCCGCCATCTGCACCACATGGCTGCCCCACCGGCGCTTGGCAGCCGTGTACTGCTCGTTCCACAGGTGGCAGCGCACGATGCGCAGCGTAAGCGTGTCCGCGAGCAGGCGTGCCTCGGTCCACCGCTCGCTCCACGACGTGGTGGTCTCAAACACCTCCGCGAACAGCTTCTCGTACGCGGCCTCGTAGCTGCGCGCGGCAACGTCGAGCTCCTGGCGGAACTCGGCAAAGACGCCGAGTTTGAGCTCGTAGCGGAGGGACCATGCGTGCAGGGAGAGGGCGCGCGAGGAGGGTACGGTGGGCGGGGGCACGGAGCCGCGGTTGCGCTTGCGGCGCGTGTGTTTTGAGAGCTCGCGGTAGTAGTCGATTGCGTGCGGGTGGAGTGTCGTGAGCAAGGTGGCGACGAACTGGTGCACCTCGACGGGCGAGGAGTGGGCGGGGAGGAAGAAGAATGTTATTCCCGGGACGAGGCCGGTGCTGCGCTTGATGTAGGAGAGGCGCTCGTCGATGCGCGGGGAGGAGAGGATGCTCTTCTCGCTGAGCAGGGCGACGACGAAGCGGCTGCGGAAGGCGGGGGACCTTATGTCGTCGCTGCTGATTGCGGCCGGGGAGGAGCCCGGCGGCGCGAAGAAGCGCTTCTGGTGGTTGATTGCGGCGATGAGCGTGTTGTCGTGTTGGTTCTGCAGGGGCCCGTCGTTGGTGTCGGTGTAGAGCTCGTAGGCGGCGCAGAAGGCGGCGGGGAGGAGTGTTTGGTGCTTCCGCAGCCAGAGGGGCGTGAGCACGCCGTCGGGGTAGAGCGGCGAGGAGGGCGAGAGCGGCGAGATGGGAGAGTGCAGGGCTTGGATGCGGGTGGGCGGGCCTTCGAGCGGGGTGGTGAAGTGCTCGTCGGCGGGCGGGCGGGCTTTGCGCGGGGGGAGAGTGTAGTCCTGTGTTTCGTGTCAGCACAGCACAGTCTCTTCTCTCACCACCACAACAGAACGGCCAACCACAAGAACACAAGAAAAAGAGCAGCACTACACACCCTCCCCACAGCCCTGATCCTCCACGCCGGTGTCTGCGGCTTCTGGCGCTCCGCCGGCCGCGCCGCCCAGATGCCCGAGCAGTCCGTCTTGAGAAAGTAGTCGAGCAGCAGCTCTCCTGCGGGCGTGGTGACGGGCGCAACAGCACAGGCGATCAGCGAGCCGTTCTGCTCGAGCTGCGGGTAGGTGGATGGCGGGGAGTGGCGCTCGGGGGAGCCCAGGCCCGACACGATGAGGAGGGGCGCCTCGTGCGTGACTAGTTCGGGGGGGTAGGCGTCCATGGCTGGAGCTAGCTGGTGACTGCTGGGTATATATTAGAGAGGTAATTAGATGTTTGGTGTGTATTGGGCTTTTGATTGGTGGTTATAGCTGTGAATATATATATGCTAGTGTCTCTCAATTGAATCCTCGTCCTCTCGTGGGTAGTGGGGCGGGGACGTAATGTGTTGCACCCCCGCGTTCCCGTGAGCATGCAGCAGCTGTGCCTGTGTCACGTGAAGCACTCGCTCCTGCACCGATCTACAGAGAGAGCGAGAGAGATAAACAACACACAGCACAGAACTATCTACACATTCACCACCACCACCACCACCACCACCGCCGCCGCCACCACCACCGCCAATCACCCCCCAGGCCATCGCCCCCATCCTGCACCTGTCTGCCTGTCTGTCCACGCACTGCCATGAGTGCCGCCCAAGATAAGCGGAAAACGCTGAATGCAATCATGTAGGCTCTTCACCTCCCTCCCTCATCCCCTGCCCGCCCACCACAGCTCCCAGCAGTCCTACAGCACAAGAGAAACGAGAACCCAAAGAAAGCACAGAGAGAGACTGACATACACTCCCCCACAGCGAACTCAAGCGAGCCCTCGCCCAAACATCCGATGGTACGCCCACCACCTCCTCCTCCTCCTCTTGCTCCCACCACCCCCCTCTAACACGTTCCCCCCTCCTCCTCCTCTCCACCCACCAGGCTCCGAATCCGACGACTCAATCTCGTACCCGTCCAACCGCGGCCGCAAGCTCAAGCGAAAGGCCCGCTTCGTGCACGAGGGCGCCCTCAACGACGCAAAGGGCCCGCGTACCTACAAGGAGGTCAGTCTTCTTCGCTCCAGTCCTCAGTCCCCAGTCACCAGTCCCCAGTTTCAGGTCCCAATCCAACCTACTTGCCTACCTACCTCGCAACACATTCCCCCTGTGCTGAACATGTGCGTGTGGTATGTAGGAGATCGAGTACTTCGGCAAACGCCGCAAGATAATCTGGCGCAACCGCAGAGCGCGGCACCGCGCCGCCGACCGCGACTCCGCCAGTGAATCCTCCTCCGACAGCGACTCCAACGGCAGCGCCGTCGACGAAGACGACCCCTATGCTGAAGTCAAGCTCGACAGTACTTCCCCCCCCCTGCCCCTCCCCCTCCGCAGCACTAACACACACAACCCGCAGAGATCCTCGCCCCACTCGAATCCGCCGCAGACCTCCCCTCGCACCCCTCCCTAGCGCACATCTACACCACCACCACGCTCAACGAGCTCCTGCAGCAGTCACTCGACAAGCTCTGCGAGGAGCACGCCCACACCATGAAGCTCAAAAACCTGCTCACAGTCTTCCTCGGCGACGACCCATACGTCAACCTCGACAAGATGACCTGGCACAACGAGGACTACCTCTCGCAGGGCGCGCGAGCGCTCACAGCAGCTCCTCCGCGAACTCGCCGGCGACCCCGCTGCCCCGGACTCGGCCCGCGGCAGCGTCTCGGGGCCCTCAAACTCCCATCCTACTGCCGCCGCCGCCGCCAAGCCCACCGAGGCCGACACAGACATGGCCGACGCCGATCCCGAGGAGCACGAGCACGAGCACGAGCACGAGCACGAGCACGAGAACGGCGCCTCCTCAGCAACACTAGAATATACCGCGCCGCCCCCACCACCCGACGACGACCCCGACGCCACACAGGAATACAAGATGGAAGAGATCCTCCCCGACTCTCCGCCACGGCGCATGACCACCCGCTCCACACACCCACGCCGCCGGCAGCAACGGCAGCCCCCCCACCGCCTCCACCACCACCGCCACCGCCACCGCCGCGCCCGAAATCGACGCGTTCTTCTTCCCGCCCGACTATTCCGTCGACCGGACTTTGGGCTTCCTCCCGCCGAGGCCGAGGACACGCGGTGTCTGTTATCGACGGCCGTGCAGCGGCAGGACGAGTTCCTGCGCGGGCTGGGCAAGGTGCGTGACGGGCTGCTGCGGGCGGAGCGGCTGCGCAAGGGCGTGTGGGGCTGGTGCCGGGCGATGGAGGGGACGCGGGAGTATCTTGGTGGCGGCGAGGTGGAGGAAGTGGTGGGCACGGCGCTGAGCGATGGCGAGGACTGGTATGATGCCGATGCGTGGGGGCTGGAGGAGGGGCTGGAGAAGGGGAAGGAGGAGGAGGAGGATGGGGTTGAGACCGTGGTGCAGGGGAAGAAGACGAGGGGGAGGAGGGGGGTGGGAATTAGTGGTTTGGACGGGGAGGGGGAGGGGGGGTGGTTTTTTTTTGTAGGCTTTTTTTTTGTGTGGACTGTTCTTTTTTTCTTTTCTGTGCTGGGACTGTCGTGGTGGTCCTTGGTCTGTCTCCTCTGTTCTTCTTTCTTTCTTTCTTGTGCTGTGCCGTGCTGTGCTATGTATGTCATGCTCTTCTCGTCTCGTCTCGTCTTGTATCTTCTACTATTCCAAAAATAAAAGCATCCATCCATAGCCTAGACCTTCATGTACCTTCTCTTGCTACCGCATCTGTTCTGTGTATCTAGAGCCAATGATCTTTCTAGCCGGTCGCCCAGTCGCCCAGTCGCCCATGCTTTCGATAAAGGGCCAGTTAACGGCTGGATAATTTTTTTTTTTATCTAGCATGATTGAAGACTGAAGCTTTGAGTAAAGTTTAACTATAAACAGAGTATACCCTCGGCGCAAAAGCATACGCAGACGCAGACGCAGACGCAGAAACGGAAGACGCAGCAGCAGCAATGGGGATGTTGAAGGCATGCATGCAGAATGTTAGGTTAAATTTAGATCAAGTAGGCAGCATAGTAGGATAGTTTAAGATGGAGTAAGATTAATAACACACCTAAGCCTACGCAGAGGCACTCGCCAAAAAAAAAAAAAAAAAACTCACGTCCCAACCGTTGCGGTACTTGTTTCACCTACAGCCAGACTTTTTTTTTATTTTTTTTTGGTGAGTACCGCCAAAACTCGAAAGAAAAAAAAAAATGGCCATCTCCGGCCAGGGATTATCACTCGAGTGATTGGCTGAATGGCATTGATCTGCATATATCAGAAGTTTCCCATACAAAGTAATTTTGATCTCTGGAAGCTAGCCAATCCCCCGGAGTTATGGCGTATAGAGTATATGTGCGTTATATATATATATATATATATATATTAGGTCATGGCCGTGTGCATCTACTGAAAACCAGGGGGGGGGGGGGGTCATGGGTTGGCACTCGGGTCTTGGTAGTGACCTGTACCAATAATAGGAAAAGTACCCGGTTAATGTGTGGGTTTTGGGTTTGTTTTGGGTGTTGTTGAAGTTTCCCGGTATGATCAGAATCCTCTTTCTAGTCTAGACCTCTGGTTTGCTGACGGTCGTCGTGGGGGGAGATAGACCAGTGGCTGACATGGTGGTCCAACTCGAATGCCACGCACCCCAATGAGCGTGTTGGATACTATCTTGGTATCTATGCGATGTTTAACGTGCTCGCTTTTATTTCGCTGTGTGCTTGGGCATGGTAACTTCTCTTATCTCCTTTATGCTCATATCATGGCAGTGCTAACTAGTGGTTTGATTTTACAGGCATCTATTCCACGGCGTGGTCGCCTCGTCGGGCAGAAACCTGCACCGGGAGTTGTTGAAGACGGTCATGAGGTATGTTATATTCTCCGTCTAGCTGTTGAGTCGATTGGCTAACGATGTGACAGTGCTCCCTTCCCGTATATTAGCCGTATCGACACTGGTATTACGACCAACAGGTATTTACAAATAATTGGCATTATAATATCAAAGCTAACCCCGGGCACAGGTTCAGCCAAGACATGCTCCTCGTGGACGGCACCCTCCCCCTCTCCCTCCTCAACACCGCCGCTGAGCTCTTCACCTTCATCACCCAACTCGCCCTCATCGCCGCCGCCACCCCCTTCATCCTCGCCACCTTCCCCCTCCTCCTCGCCACAACATATGCCCTCCAACACCTCTACCTCCGCACCTCCAAGCAACTCCGCCTCCTCGACATCTCCTCCAAATCCCCCCTCTACACCCTCTTCAACTCCGCCGCCACCGGCCTCCCCACCCTGCGCGCCCACGCCGCCTCCACACACCTCACATCTCAAACCACCGCCGCCCTCAACACATCCCAGAAACCAGTATACCTCCTCTACTGCGTGCAGGTGTGGCTAAATCTCGTACTGGACCTCATGGTTGCCGGGCTGGCGCTCACAATCACCTCCATCGCTGTCTCGGGCCGCGCTCCGCTGTCGACGAGTGCGGTGGGGCTGGCGCTGGTGAATATTACGACACTGGGAGAGACGCTGAAGAATTTAGTCGTCTCGTATACCGCGCTGGAAACGTCGCTGGGCGCTATTGCGAGGCTGGAGTCTTTCGCGCGGACTACACCGCGGGAGGACGACGACACCACCACCTCCTTAGACCCACCGCCACACTTCCCCGCCACCGCCGGTGCTGCGCCAGCAATCGAGTTCCGCGGCGTCTCCGCCTCGTACACCCCCACCGGCCCGCAAGTGCTAACCGACATAACACTCTCCTTCCCCCCCGCCACGCGCACCGCCATCATCGGCCGCAGCGGCAGCGGCAAGACCACGCTCCTCGCGACACTAACACGCCTGCTCGACCCATGTTCTGGCACCATCACGCTCGGCGGCATCGACACGCGCGCTGTTCCGCGGCGCGACGTGCGTGCTGCGCTCACGGTTGTGCCGCAGGACGTGTATGCCTTCCCTGGCACCGTCCGCCAGAATCTAGACCTAGCCGGCAGGTGCGGCGACGATGAGCTGCTGCGCGTGCTGACGCGGCTGGAACTGGTTGGTGCTGGGCGGCCACTAGGGATGGAGGGGGCGGGGGTGCTAGACGCGCAGCTGGAATGGGGACGGCTAAGTGTTGGACAGCGGCAGCTGTTTGGGCTCGGCCGTGCGGTCGTCAAAGCGCGTCGGGGAGGGGGAAAGGGGGTTCTGGTGCTGGACGAGGCGATGAGCAGTGTTGACGTTGCGACGGAGCGGGTTATGGGTGCTGTTGTGGCGGAGGAGTTTGTGGGGTGGACTGTGGTGGCGGTGATGCATCGGCTGGCGGGGGTGGAGGAGGGGTATGGGCGGGTTGTTGTGATGGAGGGGGGGAGGGTTGTGGATGTGGGGAGTGTGGAGGAGGTGAGGGGGCGGGGGAGGCTGGGTGGTGGGGGCGGGGGGAGTGGTGGTGTAAGCAGCTAGGGTTTATATATTTTATGTTATGTTAGGTACTTGAGTTATGTGGTTTATGTTAGGTATGTGGTTTATGTAGTTTAATGACATTCCGCTTTCTTGTTCAACTGAGTTGCGCGCGTGTGGAGAGGGCCAATGATCGCAACTCCATGAAATACCACGTCCCCTGCCAAGCCAAGCCAAGCCAGCGCCTGTCTAGAAAACCCTCCATAGCAACCACGACCCAACACAAAAACGCGAACATCTCAACAACCACATATCGAACAAACATTAAATCAGAAATATAACAAAACTAGATAGTGAAGAAACGAAATATGAAAAAACTACCATTTTGTGTGACTGCTATTTGCATCATAACACTGATTTCACCCTTCTTGGCATACTATCAACCCAGACCATCAAAAGTCACTTACGGGATATTTACCCACTCTTCGATGGCAACTCGCCATAGCTTGTCTATTCTATGAGGCCCAAGGTCTTCTCTCCCTCTTGTGCCATCTTCCCCTCAACTTAGATTTATACCCCCTCGCTAGCTCACAACCATGAGCCTCCCACCCATCCTCCACCAACAGCGCACCACCAGGGCCCCCTAGACTAAGCCAATAGGGTCTGCCATTATCTCTGTCGCATATTGTACCCCAGGCGATTATTTGATCGCACTCTCTCGTCAGGTTGGCATTGGCGGATTAAAATAAGAGGATATCTTGAGCCATGTTGAGATGCGCAACATATTGTGGTTGTAGTGCAGCCACTCTTGAATGGAGGCCTAAGATGTCTTTAGTCTAGCAGCCTCGGTGCATGGCTTATACTTAACCCTCATACCAGTGGGATTTGGGATGTGTTCTATGACGGCCTTGGATGTACAAACAATCCTTCTCACAACCTCAAATTCCATGTGTGTTGTCTAGTACACCATAGAACTCTCTTTTCCTTTCTCTCATGTATAAGAAGTCAGCCGGATTCAATGGGAGTTTAGTTATATATGACCCTGTGCTTTAATTGCGACATTCCTTCTTAAGCTTGCCATTTGTGTCTCCACCGGAGGTAAATACCGATAGGCACAATCGAGCTTGGCCTAGAGCTCGAGTTGGCCCTAACTGTGGACGTAAAGGCTCGAGCCTGTTCGGCTTGTGCCCATCAAGAATGATTCGGAGGTTTTGACAGGTGGTTTTCGACATCTCACTATCTGGGGTATATACAGAGGCTCGATTGCTACGCATTCTCGGATGAAGAAGGATGACAGTGCCGGTCCGGATTAAGTCGGTTGGTGCCGCAGCTTATCTTTGTAGGCTCTGCGAAACTAACACATATTCTTAACCAAGTCCATCCACAATTACAACGCGTTGAAACACCTATACATTTAGATAACCTGCACCACAACGTGTCGTGACACCTCTTCCGCTACCTTCTCGTCAACGTGGGTTTAGGTGTACAATTCGACGGAGATGGGCGCTGTTGGTAGTATAGAGCCTTGATAAAGCGGGACCGCGCACGTCTTTTCCACACTCAGCTGCAGGTTTACAGCCATACTGGAGGCGCGCAAATACCCACTGTCTGTATACTTACTTTCAAGAACGATCGACTACGATGAGAGCTTTCTGGCTTCTCCAGCTCACTACCCACCCCCACCACCTGCATCAGGCCGCTATATAAGAGCTAACCCATCCCCTCCGCAATGTCAACAACTGCAAGATCTCTCTCGACATGTATTGTCCAAGTCCGTCCCGACAACCTCACGTCTCGTTTTCCAATCACCCGCTCTCACTCGCTCCCACCGGTCGGTATTCATCCCCCGGTTATATCCCGCTCGAAGATAAAGTTTTTTTTTTTTTTGTTTAATTCATTAATTGGCTCGAATATAAAGTAATATAAGTCCTGGTAGTGTAATGACCTGCACATTCTCACTAAAAATATTAAAAAAATTAGCAAAACCGAGAGAGGTCTGAGTTCGAATCTCAGCCAGGACAATATTTTTTTTTGGTCTCCTTTGGAAGAGGTACCCTTTCTTCCCTCCTCCTCCTCCGCCCAGAATTTTCACAGCCGAAGCAGCAGTCAGACCACACAAGCCCCTAAATAGTACCTTTACAAGTGTGTATCTATCATTCCATCAATCATTGGTAGACAAAGCACAGTAACGCCCCCCGAAAAAACATCTCAGGGTTAGGGTTTGGTTCTACCTCACAACCAACAACCACACCCCCACAAGCAACATCAATACACGAATCCACAACATGACACAAGTAATAAGCGACTCGCCAGGCTCGGTACTTCCTACCACACGCTTTGTCTGAGCTTTCCGGGATCGTTTTGAGATAATTATTTTCGCATGTTCAGGGTTAGGGTTGCATGTGGAGTGGGTTTTTCGGCCGCCGGGCTGTTGGGTCGATGATCTCTGTGGTGGGGAGATGTGGGGGAGATGTGAGCACTAGAGAAGGAGGATAGGGAGGGAGGGAGAGAAGGTTTGCTTGGTGGGCTGGAAGGGATTGTACTAGGTATGCGTAGTGAGTGAGTGGGCCAGCTTTCGCGACGCCGGATGATAAATTCAGGCACTGGAGGTTGTGATTGTGTACTTCCTCGCGTACATTATTATTTCTACTGGGATCCGGAGTAGATATACTCATCATTATAGTTCTTTATACGATATTCACGCATGGGATGGAAAGATGATCATAGGTTTGAACCATAGCCAGGGCCAGCTAGCTAGCTCACGTACCCTTTTGCCATTATTCATGCTTTTAATACTTTACATGCACTACCACTCGATTGCCGAACTACACCGTCTAGATGGACTAGAAGGGGCAGAAAAACAACTGTCTGGTATGTTGGCAATGAAAGCCGGCGGAAACAGTCGAGAGAGAGCTGTGTATGTACAGTCTGTTCTATGGAATACGCTACTGCTAGTTACATATACATACACAACTGTGGGCCTATGAAGAGGAACCAATAGGTGGCAGGACAACCTGTTCTCGATGATGTCGTAGAAGGCTATCTTGCTTTTCGTCTGATAGGTTGGTTCTCGCTATAGCCATTGGAACATACAATGCCGTGCATTACCTGCGGACGAACTTGATATAGCAATGACTTCTCTTTGTACTACTAGCTATAGGGTTGTCATATTGGCTTAATAAAAACCGTGGATTGCAGTAGTTGCATGCAATTAATGAATTAAACAAAAAAAAAAAAAAAAAAAACCGTGGATTGCAGTGGGAAGTGGTAACTTTAATGACATGCGCACGTGAGGCAGCGGAGAAGATGTTGTGGCTAGCCAGTTCTGCTTCTTTCTCCAGTACTCATCTCCAGAGTTTCCAATGGGACAGGGTACTGTTGGGCTGTCCCGGGACTAAGCTCCCTGGGCCGTGTTTGGGGAAATAGCCAGTGCTAAGCGATAATTCTGTAGCGTTTAAACTGATGATATTGTAAACCGGATTCCCTTGACTTGATGGTTGATGATACCCTCAAGTCTTCGGAGAATCAAGCCCTATTTATACATGTTGGAAACTATGCCAAGGCCCGCTTTCTAATACTAACTGACACAACGATAATAGAATAAGATAATGCTCCCGAAGATAACCCAGATAGAAAAGCGGCCCCGCATAGTTCCGTCCTCCATTCTAATTCCGACACGTAACCATGAACCTTGCAATTGCCAGTCATTGGGCTGTACCATACTATTATCCTAGACCTACTTCCCTAAGTAGAACAGCCTACAGCCGTAAGCCCCGCTTCCTATTCTATTCCGGGTGAGGCACCCAATAGTAAGCGTGCCGTCATAATAGTATAACACTAGTGTGGTAACACCGCGTGCTCCCACACTACCCGATACCTTTCTATGCTTGTCCTTCCGTTACCCGACCGTCCTTGCATCACAACCCGTCACTCGTATTCCTCATTGTCCTAAGCCTCTTAGAACAGTGCTCCGTAGTTCCCGTAACAGGCCGGGGCTGGGCTGGCATTTTCTTCTTGGGATTGGGCCGGGCCGCAATGTGCCAGTCCTAGGACTGGTCCCAAGGAACTTATGTTTTCAAAAGGTCGTGTGTTCTCTGGGGAAGAAAGGAGAACATCATATTGGGGCAACTGTTATCTCCAAAATCCATGATCCTTGACCAGAAATGAACACAGTGTCCCAGATATCTTAAGCCTCTCTCACTATTTGGTCAAACATCAAGATATTTGAGTAACCTAACGGGGTCTCCAACTATTTCAGTGCTATGAGTAGTTCTGGGACCAGTCCCGGGACTGGTCCCAGCAGACGCTCCTGGGCCGGGACAGGGTCCCCGATCTTCTTCTTGGGTTGGGCTTTTGCTTCTCAGTCCCGGGCAGTCCCATTGGAATCTCTGCTCATCTCGCAACACATCACCACACGAACGAGAACAAGTGTCGTTTCACAGTACTATCCTCAATTCTTGACACGGTAACCAAAAACAAAACATCAATTGAATTGAAGCGCAAACAAAACAGACTAAACACTACATACATATACACCTACACCCTCTCAAACTCCGCCCACCACACATCCATCGTCCTACACCTACTCACATCCTTCTCCTCACTCACCCCCGCCTCCGCATTCACCCTTTCCAACTCCACCCTCGTCTCCCCCTTCAATCTCTCCACCTCCTTCTTCACCTCCTCCTTCCCCACCAAGACGCTCTCCACCTCGTCCCAAAACTGCTTATAAAACACACCCAACTCACCTCCCACTGGCCATCCTTGACATCCTCTCCCGGCGTCACCATCCCCTCCCGCCCCTTCACCACCCCCCACCCCGCCCTCCCCGCCATCTCCTTCACCTCCGCCGGCGCCGGTGCCGCCTGACATTTGGCTCCGTCGCCGCACGCTGCACCGGGTTCTTCGCATCATAAAACACCGCCTGACACCTCGCCGCCAGCACATGGGGCTGCTGCTCCTTCAGCGTCCCTTCAAAACTATACTCCGCGACCAGCAACTTCGGGGCGTATGGCCTCAGCGCAGTCAGACTCTCGAGCACGGTTGCCTTGGATGGGAAGTACCACAGACTGTGGCTCAGTATGATGAAGTCGAAGTTGTGCCCCGCCGGCAGGGTGGACAGGTATGTGTGCGGGTCCGTAGCATGAAACGAGATGCGGCCGCCGAGCGGTGAGGACAGGATGTGGTTGCGGGCGGCAGAGACGGTGATGGGGTGGCCGTAGTCGAGGCGGGCTGGGTCGACGCCGGTGATGTGGCCGGTGGGGCCGACGAGGTGTGCGAGCACCAGGGTGGTCTCGCCTTGGCCACAGCCGAGCTCGAGGACCTTGGAGCCCGCCGGGATGTTGAATTTGGACATGAGGGCGAGGCGATGGCGGAACTGCGGGAGCACGTAGGTGTTGAGGTGCTGCGGGCTGTGGAGGTAGCTTTGGGCGAGGAGGGAGAGGGTGTCGTCGGTGGCTGTGAGGGTGGTGGTGGTGGCCACAGCGGCGGGGATTGTCATGGTGGCTGTGGACGTGGAGGAGGCGGTCATGGCTACGGGGATGAGCATTGCGGTGATAGAGATGGATAGATGGAAGAAGATAGAACTAGAAGATCGTGGGTATGTGTGATGTGAGAATGGATTGGATTGTGCTGTCAGTGCAGAGCGTGGAGGGGAGGAGTGAGCTGGATGGGCGGTTTTCGCACGAGCTTTCTATTGACGTGTTCTGGGCGCTGTGCGACCTTCCTCTCTGAGCTGCTGCTCGATTTGGCTGTTGCGGTTTGGGGGGGGGTGGGGGTGGGGGTCACTGGTACCTGCAGTTGGGGGGGGGGAGGCTGGCAAGTTTCAGGTAGTGTGATGAGGAGGAGGAGGTAATTTCACACCCAGACCTAGGTCCAATTGGGATATTCTTCACGGGCTGACCAAGAGCCGGCAGTCGTCGGGAGTGATGGTGATGTGCAGTCACCCAGTCAGCATGGGGTTTGGGGGGGTGTTTGACTTGTGGCTGGAGGATGAATTGAATAGATGGATGATTACTAGCTAGGTAGCTGGCTGGAGATAATCCTTGACTGTGTTGATATCTCCCCATCTGCTGTGGGTTCCGTTTTATCAGCCGTTGTGCCTGGAGCGAGTGATCGGCAGGAGGGTAAAGTAATCTGGTGTTACGATCATTACTAGTATCGGCACGGCGCTAACCGAATGTGGCCTAGCACCTGCGCGGGGAATAGTAGATTCCCAATGCGGACACAAATAGTAACCCCGGCTAGCGATGTCTCAGTTGTCAAGCGTTATCAGCGATCAGAGAATGACAGCGCCAATGATATCCCGGTCGGTTCCATAGCAGGGATGCGTTTAATATGAACCGGTCAGGACGACGACGACACGACAGCTGGAGTAGCTCACCGACAGACACCTCTCCACCGAGATCCTCTTCTCGAGCTTCGTCGTCTTCACCCTCTGCTCTCTGCCCTCTCCCTCCTCCAGAGACAGTCAGAGACAGACAGACACTCCCTCCTCCAGAGACAGTCAGAGACAGACAGACACTCCCCCCCCACCCCAATTACACACCACAACCATGGCCGTCCACACTGCCCCCGCCGCCGAGGACGTCCTCCCCCCCTTCACGCCCACCAAGCCCTTCCTGCGCAGCCTCACCCTCCTCACGCCCTCCACAATGCGCACAACCCTCACCCGCCTCCTCACCAATGTGCAGTTCCGCGCCACGCTGCTCTGCTTCGTCATCATCGTGACGGTCGACATGGCGGGCTACCTCAGCTCCGCGCCGCAGGTGCGGCTGTTCGAGTCCATCGTGTGTCTGGACTACTACCGCGAGAATGATCCGAGCCTGATTGGTGGGGATGGGAGTGTGCCGGAGGAGCTATGTAAGGTGGATAGTGTGCAGAGGGAGATTGCGATGCTGAATGGGATGCAGACGCTGTTTTCGAATATCCCTGGTATGTTTTGAGAGGAGGCATGCGGAATGGTGGGGTGGGGGTAGGTGCTAATGTGTGTGTGTAGGTGTGGTACTCGCAATCCCGTTCGGCGTCATGGCAGACCGCTATGGGCGGCGACCAATGCTCATGCTGACCCTCCTCGGTCTCTCCCTCTCCTCCGCCTGGGTGCTTCTAATCTGTACCTTCCCCCCCCTCCTCCGCGCTCCCTCCCCATCCTTCTCCCCGCCTCCATCACTAACAAACACACTCTACCTTAGGCTGGTTCACCCTCCCCATCAAGCTAACCTGGCTCTCCTCCCTCTTCTACACCCTCGGCGGCGGCGCCTCCGTCGGCTCCGCCCTCATCCTCATGATCATCGCGGACGTGACCCCCGCCGCACAACGCAGCACCCTCTTCTTCCACCTGCAAGCTTGCGTCCTCCTCTCCGAACTCGTCGCCCCCCTCCTCGGCTCCCTCCTCATGTCGCGCAACGTCTGGATCCCCCTCCTCGCCGGCCTCGCAATCCAAACACTCGGCATCCCCATCGCCGCCCTCCTCCCAGAGACCAAGTCCGCGCACCCCACCACCACCGACGCCGAGAGCAGCGAGGACGAAGAGACTGCTCCGCCGCCGAAGAAGGAGGGCGAGAGCGACTACCGCGCTGTGTTCTCCTTCTTGCTGGCGGACCTGAATACGGCGCTGCTGGTGCTGACGTTCCTGATCGCCACCATTGGCCGGCAGGCACTCGAGATCCTACTCCAATACGTGTCGAAGCGGTACTCGTGGCCGCTTGCCACCGCCAACATCCTCTTCTCGCTGCGGGCAGGGATCAACCTGCTGCTTCTTCTGTTCCTCCTGCCATTCATCGGCACGACGCTGCTCTCGCGCTTCGGCTACACCTCCGCCGGCAAAGATCTCCTCATCGCGCGGGTCAGCATCGTACTGATGGCTGCGGGCTTCGGCGTAATCGGCGTGTCGCCAGGTGCGGCAGGGATGGTGCTGGGGCTGGGTGTGTATACGCTCGGCAGCGGGTTTGGTGCTGCGGCGCGGAGCCTTGTGACGGGGATGGTGCGGAGGGAGGAGGTGGGGCGGTTGTATACTGCGATTGCGGTGGCGGATATGGTGGGGGGTCTTGTTGCGGGGCCGGCGCTGAGTTGGTGTTTTGCTGTGGGCATGGCGTGGGGGGTGTTGCTGTGGGTTTGCCGTTTTTGGTGGCGGCGGGGCTGTTTGTGGCGGTGGGGGGGGTGGTTATGGGGGTGAAGATAAGGGATGGTGGGGAGGGGAGGGAGGGGTATGTGAGGGTGGAGGGGGAGGAGGAGGAGGAGAGGGTGGAGAGGGAGAGGGAGTAGTGGGGTGTGTGTCGTCGGCGTTTTGTGCATTGTTAGATATAGTAGATGTGAATTTAGCAATAAGAATACCAGTTTTCGTTTGTACAAACATATAGCAAACAGTAAAGAGCTTATCTCTCTCTCATAGTATTATCGGGTGGCCATAGGTGATAAAAAAGTCTCTCCAGAAATTGCCCAAAACACCAACTAATTCACAACCTCGGTGATCGTGATTCATACCGTATGTACGTTACCCATCTAGCCAGCCAGCAGGCGCGTTCTCCCAGATATTCAGCTAGCTAGTAGCTCCCCCATATAACCACACAACCAACTATCATTTGTAGCTACCTAGTCGTGGGGTTGGTTGTCGTCGTTTCAACAATATGACCGCATCCCACGAGCCCAACAGTACCCACATATATACATCGTGAGAACCAAACAACCAAAACCAAAACGTCCGATTCACGACTATCCGCATCCATCAGCTATATATATATCTTCAATTAGTAGACCTTTTAATTGATCAACTATCTAAACCCGATATGCTCCGGTGGCTATCTTCTCTTATAGTTAGTCTCGGAGGTGCATGAGAAGCTCAAGATTTCGACATTTAAAACACACATTATCACTCGGTCACTAGCAGTTCTTCGGTGGCGTGGAATTGCAAGCACACTGGTTCCCCCGTTTCTTTACGCTGAAGTGGGGTATAATAATCTCCCAAAATGCGTCTCCTACAAAATCGTGGTGTTTGGGGGTGTTTTGTCTACCCGAGCGCATGTAACCAACGAATTAAACAAAAAAAAAAAAAAAAAAAAGGAGAAAAAAAAAGTCCACCTGAGCGTTCTTTTTCTTTTCTTAATGCAAGTACTTGGCGGTCCAGTCTGCGACCGTGAGAAACTGGGATAATAGGGTGCGTACGTCAATACAGGCATTTAATTTTTTAATGCGAGCCTGATTTGAGTCCGCACGCGGATGCTAGAATGCCGTAATAAAGAGCAATGGTGTTTATGGGTCGGTCGGTGGGAGTTGTAAAGTTTGAATTATCGCATTCTCCCGTGATTGTATGTATATACGTACAAACAACGGCCAGTCTATCACGAGTTTTCAGATATTTCACATGATCTATTTACTCGGGGTTGGTACAAAACAACTCGTACACTCTTATTTACACGATGAGGATACTAAATCCAATAATGCCAACCCGAGAGCAACACACAGAAATTGTCTCGAATCCGAGTGACACTCCATGACTCCACACCACCGCCCCCATCCCCTCGGCCCCCATCCCCTCCGCCCCCATCCCCTCCGCCCCCATCCCCTCCGCATCTCACCCGCCCATCGATAAACACCCGCACCAAACCAAGATACTGCCCACCTTCCCTCTCGGTCCTCCCACACCTCTCTCCTCTATTTTTACCCTCGTCGACTGGGGGGGTGATTACTAACCTTCCAACAACAGACTAGCCACAACAACAACTAAATCAATGCACTCGGCCACATCCGGACTTCTACTATTGGCCAGCCACCGCTGTCGTTCGGCGTGACTCCGCGACCAGCGACGATAATAACGCATCATTCTATCTTCCGGCCACACCGCCAAGAGCACAACTCCTGGCTTCGCTTCCACGATGATAGAGTACCTACCTGCTCATCAAAATTAAAATTCTTCCGCTGACTGCCTAGCGCTCGGGCCGGGTTCTGTCTATCACTCCCTCGCTCACCGGGGGAGCTAGGGGGGGAGTGTGATTGTTACGATAAGCCGAGCTTACGGTAGTTGTAAAACGGGAGCCAAAGCGATCTGCGGAACTAGAGGAAACTGGGGGTGGGGATAATTACGCGACCTTACAATTGGAGGAAGGGCCAGAGTAGCAGGGAACGTAACCAGTTAGTAAGGCAACACAAACACAGTCACTCAGGATTATTATTCCAACGCTTTCGTATCTTCGAATTTCGCCGTCCATGGGCGAATCGATTATTATTCTCTCGGCCAGCTACGGATCCCGCGATTATTCTATCTGTGTCTGTACGATACGTACCGCACGCTGTATCCGTCCCAATCGCTGCCCATCTCAATCTCCCTAGTACCCTCGTCCCTGCCAATGCGGAAAGCCACAGCCTGAATCATCATACAGGAGCTTATTTCAGCCACTCCCGCAGCCAAGTAGACCTGGCCCGAGTGCCGACCGGCCGTGCGCCTGAAACCGACCCCGAGGGAGGTGATGGGGGCCATCGGCATTGCCTTGGCAACGGGCGCGGCGGTGGCCGATTTGATTGATTACATTGGCAGGTGATTGACAGCTCGCTTGGAGTAGGGGTAATGTCGGGCTTTCGTTGTTGTGAGGCTGCTTAGCAGAAGATTCTCGAGCGCGATAATTAGCACCCATCCCCCGTGATCATGGTGTTGAGTTAGATAGAGACTTGTTTGTTAATATTATAATTATGACGCTTCACTAGTCAAGGTCAAGCCCGTATTTTCAAACAGCCTATCTGCCAGTAAGCAGGCAAACAAGTAAAATTGCAACTGCCATCTTTTTTTAAACATCTAGTAGCTCCATGATGTCTCGCCCTAAGAAGCCGGCTACTTAGCGACTCTCGCGATCGTTCTTGTGGCTTTTGTGGCGTGGTAATCACAGCTCTAGCTCTCTCACTAGACTCACACTCTACTGCGCTGCACGGCCATGTCTCGCATCCAAAACTGTTGATCGCCCTTCATCTTCAGCCATTAGTTCATATCCTTCTAACAGGCATCAATTCATCCAGCTCTGCTCTTCTATCTACCACCGGAACAACCACATGACCCCTGTATCCACACAAACTCCCGAATTACTGATTGCCCCCTAGCAATCTCTCCACCGAGGTTGGTTTAGGGTGCTGACCACCCACTTCTACCGCGCAGGGAAGGTGAGAGGGTGGCTAGATAATTAATCTGCCCGTCCTAATCTCAAAGTAACCAGGAAACGAAACGGCCGGATCGGAGGTAGCGCTCATGGGTAGGTACAGGTAGTGTGCTAGGGTGTGGCTAAAAGCAACTGACCGCTGTGGTTGTGGTGATTAGATTACTAGTAGTTGAGATGACGATAGGCTGGCTGTAAAGCCGTGAGACCTGTAGGCACAGGGATAGGTGATTATTTGAGGAATTGCGTGATGTGACTGTACTGGTTTAATTTGTCGACTTTGCAACGTCTTCCAGCCCTCGCGATCAACTAATCCACCGCGCGCAACGTAGTCCTGGCTATAATCTATATTTGCTGCGCGCTCATTTGGCGGCTAGCTGAGACATCGGTGGCTTTCTGTCAGCACTCCCCAACTCCCAACTTTTCAGCCTTCGAATCCTAGCCACCAATTGCAACCTGCCTGCCTGGATATACGCAGTGTGACAGCTGCCTTGTATGTGTATTTGTGCCCGCAGACCCCCTCTTCTGGGCGGCATCTGATGCACCCCCCCCCCCCCCGGCATGGCCCAGAACCTCCTCGAAAGCTTGATTTGAAGAGTTAACGCAGCACAGTCATCTCCGCTGCAGAACCGCTGCAGAAACCAGAATAAGCTCAACCTCTGTGCTCAGGCAGCGCAGATAGATACTTGGCCAATTCAGCCAATCGAGCATATCATCATCTCCTGCGCTTTAATTGCGGTCAGACCTCACCCCATCCCTTATAGTCATCTCGTTCCTCCTCTCTGTGGAATGGAACGGCGCGAAACCCCGTGATCTATCTTTGGACACGAACGTGTTAGTGTGTGGTAGAGTGTATAGGGAAGATAGGGATAGGTGAGTTCGGTAAAATAAAGAAGCACCGGCAATGGGCGCGGATGCTTAGGATCTGCTATCTTTACCGGTGTTCTCGCACACACACCGATATCTCGTACCACCTTCTCGCAGGGGGTGCATACGGGGAAGTTTGGTTTGAAGGGTTGATTTGGTAGTGATGTATTGGTTGCTACTGTGTAAGGCTGTTTCGGTCCCCCGGTTGCAGATGAATGAGGTTGGGTGGTTGGGTTGGTTGTGGCTGGTGAGTGTGTGATTGCGGTGGTGTAGTGGGGGATTGCGTTTTGTGTTTACCAGGTCGCTAGATGTTAATTGCATTACCTGGCCGATATGAGTTGTGTACAGATATCGCTAGACAACACAACCAGAAATTGCCAATATCGAGTGCTATCTCATGACTGAACCTCACCCTCTCTACCCCCGGGCCTCGCTAGCACACAGTCATCATCAATTTAATTACGATATTAGCGCCAAGGCAGCTAGCGACATTAAGAAACTATGATTGCAATTGCAATTATGCTGCCCACTTGTATCATGCATCGTCAAGCGCAATATCTGTAAGCAATGACATTATCACTCTGCTGAAACAGAAGGGATGGTTCGTATGACCATCACAGCTCTAGCTGTAGATGAGCTGCAACGCACTGTGAATTGCGTTTATTTAGCTACATACAACCTATACAATGTCTATTATTTGCTGAAACACCTCCATGAGGGTAAGCGTTGGATAGATAGCTGATCACAGCGGCCTGCAAATACCTCGTGGGGGCGGGCGTTTTGAAAAAAAGTAACTAGCTTACTTGTCTATTCCTATATTCAATTGCAATATGTCGATCTGCCCCAATTCTCCATAATTATCATCATCATGTTGTCGCGGATTGCGACAGTATCATACGAGCTCCCATCATGACTAGCTGGCTAGCTTAGTAGTAGCCCGAGTAGGCCGAGAGCAATCTCTGGGGAACCCGCTGTGCCACAACCACCAAAGGGCCAGAGTGCAATGCAGTCCAGTGGCGCCTTCACAAACCAATCAATCAATCAATGAATTGTGATTACACCCCTCTAGCTCTACCCTGTACCGTACAGCGTGAGGTAAAATTATTGTAGAAGTATGGGAAGAGTCCTATTGGCTTGCCCAGCCATAGAAACCCTGTTTTTAGGCCCCTGTTTCTACAATAATTTTCCCTCTCGCTGTACACTACCGACGACCTTAATCAACCCCCACATCGGTATCTGGATCGAGAGTACACGATCTTCCTTCTAGAGCACCCACCTTCCCAAAACCCGCCCACCCCCCCCCCCCCCCAGCGCCCAGATTACTTAGCACCTCCCCTTCCTGACTGTACCTACATTCGGAACAACTCGGGCACCCCATCAACCAAACACCCTCCCACCGAACCCCCCCGCCCCCACAATCCCGGCTGCCGCCCTCATGCGCCACCCCCGGTACCTGCATGTGCTTAAGTGTACCGAGCCTTGGCGTGCAGGGGTGCGAGGGGAAAAGCAGAATGATCGCCAGGCGTTGGCAGGAGATAGCGTGCATGGGAGCAAGCATCCTTGGCGGTGTGGCACTTTCTGCATTGGGGGGCCCGTAGGTGGGGTCGGCTGCGGGTGGGTGTAGTGCTGAGATATCTGGGATGCCGAGTTCGGCATGGGATCTGGAATTACATAGGTGCTCTACGGTGACAGGTGCTGCAGCACTGGGGGTGTGATCGACGGCAGTCTAAAATGGGGAGAAAAGTGGTAAGCTAGAGCAGTTGTGGCGCTGTATGGGTGAGAATAGGAAGGTGGCTAGGTATGTATGGGTGAATTTGTCTTTAATTGAAATGATCTCACTGGTTTAGGATAGATACGGAACGAAAGGCTTGACTGCAATAAGATGGGTAGGCATGACGCTAATATTGCTACTAATCCAACCAAACTAATAATAACATATTGATGATAAGAAACACATCCTATAGCTAAAATACACTAACAGACCACACAGCTCCAATTATCCCGCTAGCTCAGCTATGACCCGCATGCTCACCATGCTCACCATGTCCACCAGCAGCAGCACCAGTCCCCGTCGCAGCAGCAGCTCCCGCATGCCCATGATCATGATCCCTCCCATCCCAGTCTTCAACACCAAACATCCTCTTAAACTCCTCGCTCATCCTGGACGGAACATGACCTTCCGGCTTCCTCAGCGCCTTGAACTTATCAAGATCAACAACGTTCTTATCCTGCCACTCAAGGATGGCGTTGAAATCCCTGCACTTCCTATTAATGCTGAAGTCGGGGAAGGGGTGGGTCTGGCCCTCGACCCACGCCTGAGTCACGATATCAGTCGATGCAGTGCACATGAGGTGCTGCAGGATGATGTACAGGCAGTGCGAGGTGTGCACTCTGTGAAGTTCGGGGAATTGGCCGTCGGGGTACTTGGCGCGGAAGTAGTACTCAAAGTCCAGGTCGCGGCGGATGGCATTGAGGCAGTGGATCTGGTGAAGGACGTCGAGCTCAGCAATGTGCTTGTCGGGGCCGAGGCCGAAGTCGTCGGGGTATCTGGCTGTGCGGCTGGGGTCTAGATGTGATTAGGGTAAGATTAGTTTTATGTGGAAAGGTAGGGGGTAGAAGTGGGGGCTACCTTTGCCGAGTTTGATCACGTCCTCGGTGGTGATCCAGGTAGGACGGAGGTCGGCAACACGGTTCCAGGCTGCGTCGACTTCGGGGCTGGGGGGTGCGCGGTAGATACTGCCGTCCATGTCGAGTAGTGAGCCATTGACTCGGACATCATACAGCGGGATGTTGACATTGTTGAGAAGGGGAGCTGTTCCGGTGGGTCAGTAAAGCAGGCAAAGAAACGAGCAATAAGTTGTGCCTACAGTAGTAGTTGGTCCCCTTCAATAATGCGTTATTGACATTGTTACGCATGCGGTATGTGTAACTGTAGGAGGCCCCAAAGACAACCAGAGAAACGCAGAACAACCCAACATTGAGGAAGAAGAAGATGCGTCCCTTGCGGCCCGGCAAAATAGTAGACATGCTACGCTTCTCCTGGACCACGAACTCCTCCGAGCTAGAGCTCCTCGAGGACTCTTCGCCCACAAGATGCTCAGCGGACTCATCGCGGTAGGCGGGAGTCTTTTTGGTCATGGGGAGGTATCCCTTCTTCGTAAGAAACATCGTGTATGTGGGAGAAAACAAGGAAAATTGCAATAATAGTAAAGAGGAATAGGTTATGGAGAGGGAGGGAGGGAGTCCTTCGGGGGGAAGAAGGGAGAGAGATGAAGGCTGGAAAGCTTGCCGCCTTGATATATTGCAACGCTGCACTTGGCATCGTATGATAGGCAGGTGATGTGAGAAACTTGGAAGGTATTTTGATTATCTTGTAGGACCGTTGACCACCCCATGTCTCGATATATGTTGTGAAACGTTGCGAGCTCCTGGGGTGCTAAGGGGGGTTGATTTGTCTGAGCTTATGCTGATTAAATCGATGGGCGTATATTCGATATACCAGGGTCTGATAGTGCAAGAATCCTGGGACGACACCATCGGTCAATTGTAACTGCTACAATCTCGGATGTGGCGGTGCAAGTGATAGAAAACCTCAGTCTACATTATTTGCCGGTGGTGCCGATCGAAATACGTATATGGGTACAGAAAGACTGGTCAACATTCATCTGATTCACTTCAGAGATAGTAATCTTTACTAAGAGAGATAGGGCTGACTAACTCTAGTACTGTAGAAGAAGCTCCTCGGTAGCATGATTAGTCCCGTTCACAAGGACAAATGATACGAGTAAAGGCACCTTCCATTATGAAGCAAAGTGCCCCCACGTTCTCAATTGACGATCCCTCGTTAGTCTGAAGACAGAGATATTGTAATAATTGCCTCATAACACTAATTCAATTAGAAATGCTGTGACGATTAAGCAAGGCGCTAGTGAGTATCAATTCACCGAGCAGGCTCCTTGAAAAAAGTATGGATAGTAAAGATGCCGAATAAGAGATCTTTTTTTTGGAAGGTGTGCTATCCCGTTAGTCTGGAGTAGTTGGCTCTGATAGTGTCTGGACAGTCCGGGACCGAAGATAGGAATATCCGGCGATAGAGATAGGGATATTTGCAATATGGTAACCCTCAGATGAAGGGCATTCAGTGGTGGGGGCTATAATCATGCAGTAGCATCTACAGGGAAGGAGGCGGGTACCATTGACCGAAACTCAAAGTGGATCAGAGTGCAGCATCCCTTGTGGCTAGGCAGGTGTGGGGTATCGTTGAGTAAAGCTTCACCGCAATGACTCTACATGTCAACCCAATGCTCAACAACCCCGGTATCGTTCCCTGAAGCGAGCGGTAGATGGACGGAACTGCCCTGCCGTTTACTAGATATGGGGTATTCTCGGAAGCTCTAACAAATTTGTTGATCTTAGTAACTCTCACAGCTGTGTGGACTGTGGGATCTCAAGATATATAAACTCACCTCTCACCCGTCTTTTCTCTCTCCCTCATCCAACACAACCACATCCTCTCAACAGTCCAACACAAGCTTCCTTTCTACTCTTCTCAACCAAAGAAGTCTCCGGCTTTCCAACATCCAATACATCACTCAAAATGCGTTACCAACTCTCTCTCGCAGCCCTCGCCCTTCTTGGCTCTCACGTCCTTGCTCTCCCAGTTCCTGGTTTGTATTCCTCCGATTCAATACATTGATATCAGCATACTAACAGTTCCGCAGAAGCTGCTGAGAAGCGTGAGGCCGCTACCGAATATTTCCACGTTGCCGGCGACGTTCTTGACAAGAGGGAAGCATCAAAGGAGTACTTCCATGTCGCAAACGATGTTCTCGATAAGCGTGCCCCAACAAAGGAGTACTTCCATGTTGCAAACGACGTCCTCGACAAGAGAGAGGCAGCAAAGGAATACTTCCACGTTGCCAACGATGTCCTCGATAAGCGTGCCCCAGCAAAGGAGTATTTCCACGTCGCGAATGATGTTCTCGACAAGCGCTCAAAGGAGTATTTCCATGTTGCCAACGATGTTTTGGACAAGAGGGAGGCCGGCAAGGAGTACTTCCATGTCGCCAATGATGTTCTCGACAAGCGCTCAAAGGAGTATTTCCATGTTGCCAACGATGTCCTCGACAAGAGAGAGCCCGCCAAGGAGTACATTCACTTCGCCAACGATGTTTTGGACAAGAGGGAGGCCGGCAAGGAGTACTTCCATGTCGCCAATGATGTTCTCGACAAGCGCTCAAAGGAGTATTTCCATGTTGCCAACGATGTCCTCGACAAGAGAGAGCCCGCCAAGGAGTACATTCACTTCGCCAACGATGTTCTCGACAAGAGGGAGGCCGGTAAGGAGTACTTCCATGTCGCCAATGATGTTCTTGACAAGCGCTCAAAGGAGTATTTCCATGTTGCCAACGATGTCCTCGACAAGAGAGAGCCCGCCAAGGAGTACATTCACTTCGCCAACGATGTTCTCGACAAGAGGGAGCCCGCCAAGGAGTACATTCACTTCGCCAATGATGTTCTCGACAAGCGCTCAAAGGAGTATTTCCATGTTGCCAACGATGTCCTCGACAAGAGAGAGCCCGCCAAGGAGTACATTCACTTCGCCAATGATGTTCTCGACAAGCGCTCAAAGGAGTATTTCCATGTTGCCAACGATGTTTTGGACAAGAGGGAGGCCGGCAAGGAGTACTTCCACGTCGCCAATGACGTTTTGGACAAGCGCGAGCCTGCCACTGAATACTTCCATGTCGCCAACGATGTTTTGGATAAGCGCGAGGCCGCCAAGGAGTATATCCACTTCGCCAACGATGTTCTCGACAAGCGCTCCAAGGAATACTTCCACGTTGCCAATGACGTTTTGGACAAGAGGGAGGCCGGCAAGGAGTACTTCCACGTCGCCAATGACGTTTTGGACAAGCGCGAGCCTGCCACTGAATACTTCCATGTCGCCAACGATGTTTTGGATAAGCGCGAGGCCGCCAAGGAGTATATCCACTTCGCCAACGATGTTCTCGACAAGCGCTCCAAGGAATACTTCCACGTTGCCAATGACGTTTTGGACAAGAGGGAGGCCGGCAAGGAGTACTTCCACGTCGCCAATGATGTTTTAGACAAGCGTGAGCCTGCCACCGAATACTTCCATGTTGCCAATGATGTCTTGGATAAGCGCGAGGCCGCCAAGGAGTATATCCACTTCGCCAACGATGTTCTCGACAAGAGAGAGGCAGCCAAGGAGTATATCCACTTCGCCAATGACGTTTTGGACAAGAGGGAGGCCGGTAAGGAGTACTTCCACGTCGCCAATGATGTCTTGGACAAGAGGGAGGCCGGCAAGGAGTACTTCCACGTCGCCAATGATGTCTTGGACAAGAGGGAGGCCGGCAAGGAGTACTTCCACGTCGCCAATGATGTCTTGGACAAGCGCGAGGCTGCTACCGAGTACTTCCACGTTGCGAATGATGTTCTCGACAAGAGGGAGGCAGCCAAGGAGTATATCCACTTCGCCAACGATGTTCTTGACAAGAGAGAGGCAGCCAAGGAGTATATCCACTTCGCCAATGATGTCTTGGACAAGAGGGAGGCCGGCAAGGAGTACTTCCACGTCGCCAATGATGTCTTGGACAAGCGCGAGGCTGCTACCGAGTACTTTCACGTTGCGAATGATGTTCTCGACAAGAGGGAGGCAGCCAAGGAGTATATCCACTTCGCCAACGATGTTCTTGACAAGAGAGAGGCAGCCAAGGAGTATATCCACTTCGCCAATGACGTTTTGGACAAGAGGGAGGCCGGTAAGGAGTACTTCCACGTCGCCAATGATGTCTTGGACAAGAGGGAGGCCGGCAAGGAGTACTTCCACGTCGCCAATGATGTCTTGGACAAGCGCGAGGCTGCTACTGAGTACTTCCACGTTGCGAATGATGTTCTCGACAAATAGAGGGCTTCTTTTCTTTGGGGAGGATGAAAAGACTGTAAAACATAGGATCTGTGGTTGATGTGTATGGATAGTGTTTCTTTTTCTGTTTCTTATCTTGTCGTGTTTCCTATATTGGCCGGTGCCTTTCCATGCGATTTTTTGATTGATTTCTTTCTCCGTGTAGCGTAAATGACCTTTTTGCTTTTTTTTTTGTACTGGAATTACAACGTTTTATCTCTGAAATCCCTTTGCACATTGAGACTTTCGTAACAGGTGACTGTTGGTGTTGGAAGCTTCTTCCAAAATGATTGATATACAGTGAACGCTCCCCTAGCTATTGAAACTAATTAGTTAGGTCTCGGTGAAGTAGATGCACCGATGACAAACCTCATTGGGCGATAGGCAGTTGTTGGATTGAAACAGGATTTCGGAGATTTAACTCCCTAGCCTTCGTTTTTGCCGGTCTTGAATTGGACTTTAAACCACCGGGCTAGGATTAGAAAGACTCTATATATCCGTGGGTATTCATCGTGTGTGATTGCGGGTCACCGAAGTGACAGATTTCATTCGCTGGGGGAGGATCTAATATTCTCGGGAGTATGAGGTGTAGGGTGTGTAATAGTTTTGATACTATTTTATTCCGATAATCCTGTACAAGACATGAGACATGAGCAGAGCACGGGCCTTTATAATAAAATATAAGAAAGAACGTAGAATACCAAATAGATCACGCTGAAAGGAAAGTGAATATCACGGGAACTCTGGCGGGGTGGAGTAATAGATGATTCTGGTCATTGACATCAACAACGAACAGTGTCTAAGCCTGAGAACTTCGAGATTTAGTTAAGGATGTAATTAGATGGTACGCATTGTGTGTTAGTCATATTTATGTTGTGTTTGGAACATGGGGGAGCATATCTCGATCTGCTAATATATAAAGATCAGGACGAAACGAAATTTCGAAGATACCGGTGATCATTGACCCCTAAGATCCGAGAGTCTAGTCGGCCTGCACCCAGGCTCCCTACATAGAACAATAAGGGTGTACTGGGATGTGCCAGAACAGCCCTTCGATGAAATGATTATTCTGTTCACTCCGCCCGGGAAAGTACTTCCAAAGACAAGATGGTTCCAGGAGGGGGGGTAGGAACGTAAGGCTTTATTTCATTCATTAACCTGGTTTGAATTGATAATATAAAGTGGTAGGGAATTAAAAACGGGAAAACCTCTAGTATTGACAGAGTAGAGATATATTCATGATCACGAGTATGCATTAACTCTCCCGACGTCTGACGTTGAATAACACCAACAAGCATGCAGGGTAACATTCCTAACTACTGTATGCGGCCTAGACGCATGGCAACAAGCTTTTGTGATCGCTCGGCTAACCTAGAGTAGACTTAGGGCCCGTTCGGACAACCCGATAATCTAGATTATTGGCGATAATCTGACGGATTATCGACTTTTGGATTATCACAATAATCTATGCTGTTTGTGCAATTGAATAATCCAACATTCGGAACTCCTAATTATCCCAATAATCCGCCAAGAAAACAATCACCTTCGGAGGTAATTACCCCCACACAACACAGATATCCTGAGAGCTAACGTTATCCGGACATGTAGATTATCCACTTATTTTGAGGATTATGATTATCACTTCCGCTACCTGATAATCCAGTCTGTCCAATAACCCGAAGAAATAATCTAAGGTTGTCCGAACGGGCCCTTAGTAGAGTAGGTGCGCTTACAGGGTGCAGGAAATCTTAGCAGCAACAGTCTCAGGCGGTGGCAGACTCAGGGTCCAACGGAGTTTGTCATTGATTTATTTACAGTGTAGAACTGTTTTATTTGACCTTTAGAAACTCCATTTAACTTGCCGAATAGGTGTGGTGTCCGGCAAGTGAACTTAGTTTAATCTAGATAAAAATAGAGGCTTTCAGTACCTAGGTACATGCAGGCAAAAGACGGGGAGGAAAATTAATAGGATAAGGGTTGTGGGTGCGTGCACCGGGTGACGACTTGTGACCGAGCCCGCTTGATGCCTATGTATCTCGTGCCCACTCAGCTTCTTTGTATGTCGGGTTCCAAAAATAACCGATCATTAGCACCTCGTGAGACTCATAGCAACCCTAACTATCCTACGAAGAAACCTCACATCGAGACCTTCGAGATCAGAAGGATAAGTCCATTCTTTTCAAGCATCTAACTCCGTTTAGGAGATTTAAAATTATTCAATTGCTCTCCTGGCCGTTGTTGGGTTATTCTGACCTGAAGCTACTAGTGGATTTAGACGCTGTCGTGGGTGGTCAGTTGGGTTGTTATTGGAGCCCGGTGATATTTTTGTGCACGCCCATTAATTGGCCAATCAGAAGAAGGCTGGAAACGAGACTATAAAGCACCCCGACATTGGAATCATAGAAGAACTAGTTCATCGGAGCACATTGATATATCAGGTGGTGTTTGGACTGATGGCCGGCCAAGGATACATGTAGTTAGACTAAATTATAAAGTTAAGGCAGGCTAGGAGGTCTCACAGGTAGAAGAGCTGTAGACCTCCACTGGCGGTCTCGCTTGAAAATTAGTACTCTGATATTGCATCATTTCAGATATTCCTTTCGTAATTCAGAAAATATAATTGTTCATACTACCCTACATCAACATGCTTCCCCGGACCGATCCCGGATCCCTTGCAATGCCCGAAACACTTCCTGCGAGGTAATCAGAGGGCTGTAGTGGGACAAATTGCAAAACAAAACGGAGGGGAGGGAGGACAAAGCGGGACAAAACAGGGTAGGTGCGATCCCGGGACTTCTCAAGGTATACGAGTGATTGTCTGTGACCTTCATATCAGGCTCAAGCTATACATTCTTTGCTGGTTTCTCCCCGAAAAAACCATCGTGTAAAAAAAAGATATTAGAGCGTAACGTGTTTCACCGGGGACGCAACCTGATTGGCGGATTGGTCCTGATATATCATATTTGCTCCCCGTTCACGGGTCAAACTCGGGCAGGCTGTTGGGTTCGGTACTGGTAACCTGTTGGTTTTGCGTTTGCCATCCAAAGTAGAGCGTTTGCCATGTTGCGGAAAGTATTTACATCGAGATAGATATCGCTACCAGCGTTCAAGGTCTTTCTCTAAGCGTGATTGTTAGCAACACTTTCCTCAACTATGGGACGGGGTAAGGACAAAAAGCAGAATGACTCGTTACTAGATATTGAATCAAGGGCTGCAGCTGCAGTTAGAGACTACAAAGCCGGGAAATTTCGAAATATCCGGGACGCTGCGACTGCATACGACCTCACCTACGGTAAGCTTCGCAATCGATTAGTTGCCAGTGGTATTGGTCCAAAGGGCATCGCTCAAGTTGATCAGCAAATAATTACACTTTGGGAAGAGAAAGCAATTGTCCGAAGGATTGTACAGTTGGACGACTGGGGCTTTCCACCCCGGATGAAGTACGTGAAGGATATGGCGACCAGTTTCCTGAGGTCACATCACCCCGAAGGGACATGCTCAGTCAATTTAGGGAAAAACTGGACCACCCGTTTCCTTGGTAGACACCCGGAGCTGGACTCAAAATTCGCTGTACGACTAGATAAGCAACGCGGTTATGCCAACAATCCTGCAATCTTCAAGGACTTTTTCAAAAAGTTGTTTGACATCATCGCCAAACACAAGATCCTACCACATAATATACTATACAACATGGATGAGAGGGTTTTCTGATGGGCCGGTCTGCAAGTGTAAAGGTAATTTGTAGGCGTGGGAAAAAGCGAAATTTTAAAGTCCAAGATGGTGTTAGAGAGTTGATAACGGTGATTGAAACTATTTCAGCAGGGGGGGCGGTTATACCGTGACCATCGATAATCTATAAAGGAACGGCGCTTTATATGGGCTGGATTCAAGTTGCTTTAGTCAAAGCGGGCTACAAAGCCTATTTTAGCTTTTCGAACACCGGTTGCTAAACTCGTTTTTTGCTGATGCATGAAAATCAAAATGGACCAATCAGTCTCTTTATGTTCCCTGCACCACTTTAATTTATTCCTTTTCTGAACACGGGTAAAGATAGGTTTCCGCCGAGGTTCTCACAAGTGCACTGGCAGGCCGGATTTATTGAGATATTTGCGGGCCGTCTCTATCGAAATGTTGAGACCTGCCTCTTCAACAAGAGTGGCTAAAGTAGAACGGCGGTTCAAGTTCTCAGGTTATTCTGCTGTATGAATAAGATATCTCTTTTCCCTAGCTGAAACAGTCTCTGGACAACCTAATTTTTGTTTCGGATTGACATTTTCTTTATCAAGTAGTTTTTTCAGCCCAACTTTCTCCCCCGCATTTGCCTTTGCCCTATGAACCAGATCAATAGCTGTACGCCGTTTAACTCCAGTCTCTTTTTGAATTCCCTTGTACGAAAGGCCTTGCTTGTAAAGGGCAAGCACAGCGCCAACCTTAACGGGGTCTGTTGGTCGCCCTCTCATGGGCCCTCGCATAGACCCTGGCACTGGCATGGATTTGGGGGGGCTTTTTTAGATGTCATGTAGCATACTAACGTCATACTATTATCAAACCATGTCCAATTGGAATAAGAATAATTAATTACCTACAAGCTATTGAATATACAGGCACGAATAGTACTGGGTTTTGGTGAATGGGCGCGCGGGCGGGCGTTGGGCGCGTGAGGGTTCACATTCCCGTTGTCACGGAAATCTGCTGGGCGATCAGTTCCTGGAATTGCGAGTAGGTAATAGACATATATTAATCTAGAAGGGTAATGCTACCGCTCACCTGTCTGCGCGATTTTCATCCTACGTACATACATGTACCTATAGACCAAATTCGCTGAATTAACAGGGTGCAGAAACAGGTTTTTTGATAGGTTCAGTAGTAGATTCGTTGGGTTTAGCAGTGGGTTCGGTGCTACTTAATTAGATAGTAAACTCCCTACTAGTTTACTCGTAACTGCTTGTGGATTCGGTGATGGATCCGGTGGTGGCTTCGGGTTTGCTGCTGGGTTCGTTGGGTTTGCTGGCTTGACTGAATGCATTGGTTTCGGTTCTAGATTTGCTGCTCAACTCGTTGATTAGCCCGTATTTTGGTAGAGGGGTGGGATAGTAGAGGGAACGGGGTTGGTAGAGGGAATGGAGGTGGTATGCAGAGGGTGTGGAGGAACGATACAAGAATACGGCTTGATATTTGCTAGGTAGGTGCCTACATCGTAACGCTAACCCACAAACATTATGCCCCCCTACTTAAGTAGTCCTCTCATTTCTCGCTTTGTAGACGTCTATTTCTTCCATATTGCGAAGTCTCACTACTGCAAAGGGCCTTAATAGAACCTAATATATGCGCCTCAAAGGCTTATTGTTATAGGAACTACGGAGCGCTGTCCTAGAGGCTTAGGACAGTGAGGAATACGAGTGACGGGTTGTGATGCAAGTATGGTCGGGTAACGAAGGGGCAAGCATAGAAAGGTATTGGGTAGTGTGGGGGTACGCGGTGTTACTACACTAGTATTATTGTAACGGGGGTCTATGGACGTAGGGACTATGGTGCCAAGGAATACAACCGAGGCGAAGGCGTAGCAATAGGTATCCGAGACTATGGGCTATGGAGTGACTCTGCCTAGTATGACTAACTAGTTGAGGCCTATGACGAGACGTAGAACAAAGTAGTATTTGTGGAATAAATACAAGAAGTTGCGTGAAGAGAAGAGGAAAGGAAGGAAAACATGAAAAGGCACGAGACAACACCCCCTTATATATCCAGCCTCCAGTCCGCTAATGACTCATACCTCGCGTAACGGAAACCAAAAGAACATAACAGAAACCCCATTACAAATCCTAATTCAACTGCACAATACCTTCTCTTCACGATCCAATCAATCATTCTAACCGACCGGTACTATTGCCGTTAAAATTATACTATTGTGACGGCACGCTTACTATTGGGTGTCTCACCCGAAATAGAATAGGAAGCGGGGCTTACGGCTGCAGGCTGTTCTACTTAGGGAAGTAGGTCTAGGACAATAGTATGATACAACCCGATGACTGGCAATTGCAAGGTTCCTGGTTACGTGTCGGAATTAGAATGGAGGACGGAACTATGTGGGGACGCTTTTTCTATCTGGGTTATCTTCGGGAGCGTTATCTTATTCTATTATCGTTGTATCAGTTAGTATTAGAAAGCGGGCCTTGGCATAGGTTCCAGTCTGTATAAATAGGGTAGGATTCTCCGAAGACTTGAGGGTATCAACCATCAAGTCAAGGGAATCCGGTTTACAATATCATCAGTTTAAACGCTACAGAATTATCGCTTAGCACTGGCCATTTCCCCAAACACTTATAGTACCCGTTCCGCTCATACAGTAGTCTCCGCGCTAGCCCCCCTGCCCCCAAGTATCGGTTCCCGCAACGAAAAAACATCGGCGAGTGGTCCGGTGGGTAATACACTGAGACCGCTCGCCTGGTTAGACACCGAGTATTTGATCCTAGGACCTGGGTTCGAATAGGGGGTGGGAATAGTGCAGTACGGGGCACAGTACTTTTTGTTGAAATTAATGTAAGTAGCATTGTTATAAACAAACCTGGTATGCATTCCTCTATGGCCGAAATAATGACCCTGTTATTACGCGCCGGAGTTGGAGCTACAGGTTTGTATTAATTATTTGATCTGAATTGATCTATCACAGATATGTTTGTGGCGTTTCCGCCACGCAATCGAAACTTCGAAGAAAGCCACTGCTAAAATGCCAAGGCTGTCTAACCACAGCCGCACCCTCAATACGAACACTCTGCATAAATCTTGGATGAATACCTATTGATTCACGATCTTCCCTTGTTTGGGTTAGTAGCCAATTGCCCATCTTCTTAGATTCGATAAGATCAAGATATAATTACGCCTTTCCTAATCAAGATGTGAATTACAGGCATTTACAGCCTTGGCGCATATGCGATATGATAAAAATACTAATATACAGCTAGCTTTAGGCTACTTTATACTTGATCCCCAGTATTGCATATTAGTGCCTTATAACCTCAGCTTCCTAAGGCTACCGTAAAGAAATAATCATAGTAAGGTTACTTCCACTCGCATGCGGGGGAGGGCAATGGATTGAGGTTTCTAGAGTAGATCTATGTAAACCTGCAGGCTGTGACTAGATGCTTAGACGTAACAATTGTGTATTATAGACTGACGGAGTTTCAGGATCTCTTATGTAGTTCAGAAACCGTCTTTGCGCCGTGACCAGTCAAGGCAAATTTATAGATCCAATGATTTGCCGGAACCCTCGTTGTCGAGGTGTGATATCGCAAAGCTTTAAAACTACGGATTCAACTAGACTGCAAAACTGCACTTTTTCGACAACTCTATTTTGAGAACAGCTCGCATTTGACCAAGGTAAATTCGAATAGACTCGTGTTTGTTACTTTTTATGCAATACATTTACAGTGATGCATTTTGGCTTAAGCTTCAAAGTACAGACTCTTGCTCTCATCAAAGTTACTTTCGCGACGCTCTTGCAAGGTGTTAATAAGGCGATGATATGATGTGCAAGGCCATAGTATATGTGTGTACAGAGGAAACCGAAGCTCTATAATAGAGCCACAAGGTCAATTCATGGAGTGTAAGAACGCAGAAAACGTGGCTGAACGCAATTCAAGGGAAGGCTCCGGGCTGCTGTGCATGTGCTCAGCCGGAGAGAAGAATGAACTGGCTGGTCCCCACCACAGTTAGTACGTACCTGCAATTGGAGGAATTATGCCCAGAGCTATTAGCTGTGCTCGCTGCCGCATATATCTTCCAGGCCCTCCCCCGTTAAACATCCTTCTCCTCCGGAGGCTGAATCTCCAACACATCAACTGTGACTACTTACTTTGAAGGATGACAACTACCACCAAGTCCTGCGAAACCCCTGGGTATTTTCTCTGCGGCGCGCAGTGTTTACCATCGGCACGATGCTGCTTAGCTGACGCCGGCTTTGAGTCTTTATCTTTCCACCGGTGGGATCGTCTATCTTAACATCAACTGTAGGGAGCTGTAAAGATAACAAAGCCTGTTATACCATCGACAGCACCGTTGGATGTTATTCGTACATCAGGGCATTTCCCCATGTTCAAGTTACCTGGGCTCACAATCCCACAGATCCGCCAGCCAACGACCGACGAATGAAAAGACTTGCGTTCCGAGTGGGAAGCCGAACTGCGAGAACGATGACTGCATCTATTGGTGAGCAATCTTGTTTTGATTGAACACTCTGAAAACATGCTAATCATTATCGCGCCAGCCTGTCTGATGTCTTCAAATCATGCGCGGAAATAGTCTACATCGACAGTTACCGCACCTTGACCAGTGCCATCTGTGCAGAAGCGGCGTGGGCGTCTACAATCAATCGAAGAGACTGAACGAATTCTGCCAGTACTGAGGTGCCTTTCACCTCCGAGACTACCGTCGAATTAGTAACCACGCCGGCCTACACAACAGCGGCAGTATCCGGCGATAAGGATACACCTACAACTACGCTGGGGATGGCACCAATCCTCGGAATCACAATAGGGGTATCAGCGTTGCCCCTACTGCTCGTAATCATTACTATGCTTCTACGTCGGAAATCTGGCGCCACGAGTAGGAATAAGGACAGGGTAGCAGGGGGCGAGCCGGCTCCATCGAGGCCAGAATAGGGTAGACATGAATTACAGTAGAAGAGCTTGGGATTGGAAATAGCTTTGAATCCAGGTTAGTTTACATAATTACGTATATGTACGGCAGGTCTATGTACTTTTGTATATAATAATTTAATGGAAATGTAGATATATAGAAAGTAAATGATGGCTGGGACAGGAAGAACAGAACAAATGAGAACACGACACATTCAGGGTTACGTACATAACTTATAAGACTAGGGAATATAGAGAGAAAAGGGAACTCAGGATCTTGTTCGATGAACATTGATCGAACCAGGGGGTTTGGCCACCGGGTAGGCCCATCTCCTTCCCTTATTCCAAATATGTATGCACCGCTAATTCTACATTGTTGGAATTTGTGGGAGGTAGCGGAGGTCACTCTTTAATATGATGCGCCAAACGACTACATAGTTAGGGGCTGGAAATATTAGTACTTCCAGTCACGTGATAGTAAAAAGTTACATACATCTATCTGTCCACACTGAAAGTCACTCCCATCTTCTTTTAAAAAAATACATGGCAGAGTGGCCCTACCCAAACCCGGTACTTGAGTGACGCAGCGCCGCGGAGGTACATGAGATTGAATACGCCATAGAGACCGCTTGCGGTCTTAGGGTTTTGTCTAGGGCCGGCACAGCTAGCCGGATTACCCTAACCCTCACCCTCCCGAACCTTCGAGACCTTAATAGAATCATATTTCTCTGCTATTACGTATTGCCATAGTCTTTGTGACCTAGCAGGCCATTACACCAACCCTCCGTTCACACGGCGCCCACCTTAACCGCTGAACCTCACCACCGACCTTATCGAACCTAAAGAATTATGAGTCTTCGATCCCTTTCCCCGACGCAAGTGTGAACTGATTTCATGGAGGCTAATGACGAACAAGCCGAAAATATAAACAGTACGTGGAATAACAACCAGCTAGCTTATGTACCTGAAGCTAATCGACTAAAGTACAAAGCTAAATACTTTGCCCCTCTGTCGCTGCTTGTGAAAAGCGTTCAATCACTCCGGTCTATTTAGCGTTCTGTGATATGAGAGGTAACGACGAAATAATTGCTGCTATCAGCCTAAATTTGGTTGCTGATCACTTGTTAGTTAAAGATGGCCTATGAACTTCCGGACGATCTCGCCGGCCTGGCGAACGACGAATATGTCAATGGTCTTTGGAATTCAATCCTTGGTCATTATTATTTTCCGTATCCCAATTATACCATCAAGCCGGTGAGCAGGGTCGCAAGCGTCGGAAGGGCTAATGTCAGCTTTGCCTATCTTGTCGTGTGCGACCGAAACGGAAGGAATAAACTGCTCTTTGAAGGGAAGAGGCATTGACTGTGGCCATGGGGCATCTCAAAGGCGGATGCCATCGAACAGGCCACATTCTATGCGCGACTTTCGAATGTCAGATTCACCATTGTCGCCTCCAACAGTGAGGTAACCTTTCTTCAGGTCGATGACCGGGGGACGTCTGTGGTACTCGTTCCCCCAGGCACGACGTTTGCCGGCTGGATAGAGGTTGATAAGATAAGTATGGTTCATAAGAGGCTGAAATACATGAAAATGATGATTGAGATGGCTCATTGAAAAACTCGACGTTCATGTTGTTTTCATAGTTATACGTTCATGTTTTTTTCATAGTTATAGTCACAAGGTGATTTGTGGTGTTCGTCTAATAAATAAACTTGCTTGCTTGTTTTTAAATACAGAAAATGACCCTTAAATACTAAAAAGGCTGTGAAATAATGGTAGGAACTGTGGGTGTATGGGTGACGGTTTGTGACCGCACCCATTAGGTATATGCCAAACAATAGATCCACAAAATTAAATTGTATTCTCCAACTGTTACAAGCCCGTTGATGCCAGATACGATCTGATGACTCCACCGAAATATATATTTTATATGGGGACTCAACTATCTCGAGATCCAAAGGAAAAGGTTCATCGGAAAACATTGATTTTCAGGTGGAAAACGGGAAACATCGGAAACCAGTTATTTTATTGCGTTTAACATGCCTTTGAAAGGGAAAAAGTATTAGTAAAATTGTTTACAGATGCCTTTAATAGGTAAAGACATTTGTAAACGCATCGGTAATGAGACAGGAATATCTTTAACAGAGAGTAGGTCGGTTAACGCATCAAATAATGCCTTTTACAAACATTTGTATATGGGAAATATTAACATTGACGCATTTACCCACCTACTAGAGGCAAATGAGAGCACTAGATCAAGGCGTGGGTTTGATTAGGTTATTTGATTCATTGTTTGATTCGTATAATCGATTCGACTTTCTAGTCGTAGGATTTGGTGTTTCTTTGGTGGTGGGATCTGTAGCGGGTGGTGCGTCGTGTGGTAAACCTATTTGACCAATTTTGCCGGGACTATTGTACACCCGTGTCTAGAAAATTCCCGGATCCCACTCCACAGCAACCAAACCCAAACCGCGACCCACCGAATATCTCAACAACTACAGATTGAATAGACATGAAATTGAAATTGTGGCATAATTAGATAGTAAAGAAATGAAATATTTTGTGTGGCCCCCATTTGCCTCATAACCCTGATTCACCCTTGGCATACTATGAGCTCAAAGCGCATCAAAGGTCTCTTGGGGGAAAATATCCCCACTCCTCAATGGAAGCTCTCCATAACTGTAAAGTTGCATGTAATTAATGAATTAAACAAAAAAAAAAAAAAAAAAAAAAGCTCTCCATAACTCATCTATACTATGAGGCCTTCTCTACCTCTTGTGCTACCTTTTCCACAACTTAGATTTATTCAAACCCCATGGGTTTCGTGGTGGTGTTTGGTCGTGGTCTGGTTACTATGGTGCGGGATCCGGAAATTTTCTAGACACGGGTGTACTAGTGGATTGAGGCATGTAATTTTGAGAGAGATTGGTTTAGATATAGTTGAAGGGGTTGCAACCACTACCCGCCATACCGTCTTGCCACGCACACAGAGGGGTCAGCATTTCTTGCCAGCTCAAGGGATACATAAATTGGTGTCAAGGGACTTCGGGTAGACCCACTATAGCTTTTGTGGCGATTTCTTGGCGGACTACCGCTTCATGAACTATCACTCGATCATAAACATCGAAGAAAATTGATAAATCGTTTGTTTATTGTATCCAGGAGCTTAGTCAGCTCTTTAGGGCCGTAAAGGTGGGATAGGGCTATATGTTTATGTTTAGTATATGTAGGTGGTAGGATACCTTTGATTTGTTTGGTGTTAACTCAGATCATCATCCGGTAAACGTGTCCCCGTATATCCTGGGTAGTCCTTGAAGTAGAGGGCGAAGTTGCGTGCGATGAGGAAACTAGTACAGACTTGCTAGTGGGTAAGACTTGGTTTACATGGGTATGTAGTTTTGAGAGAAATGCCGGGGGCTCGCACAGAGCAGTCACCATTATACCAGCCATTGCTCGTCGGGGTTGCTGAGCTGGAACATTGGTAAATGATAACTATATTTGTTGTAGAAGTGAGAGAGCGCTCTTGCGCAATAAGGTAGAGTTCCAGTTGTGAGTTTACTGCCGTTGGATATACCAAAGGAGACGTATTACTTCATTTCGCATTCTAAGGGGCGGTGTGCTATGTCTCTCAGCCAGTATGCGGGTAGCTTGAACAATGTATTACCAAACGTAAATGGGAAGAAACAATTACATAGTTTTTCCGAAAAGTACTCAGCAACGTTGCTAAATATCACCAACGGGAATGGGCATCGTACTGTCTTTCGGGAAATCTGGCAATGAAGGAGATGGACTAAGTCTTTTTGAGTGGTCTAATAGTTGTAGATCAGAGTGCTCGGTTGTGCGCTCTTTTATTGTTTCCGGAGGACTTGTCTTTCGTCAACAATCGTGATGTTCCCCCTTCGCCAACAACCCTTGTCCGTAAAGCTTGTCAGGTGGAGTGTCCAATCTGCCGATCGTTTCAGACACTAAAAGTTGATTGTTAGCATGCTACCTGTCGTACCGTTATATAAAAATTTGTAAACATCGGGAATCCGATTACTGGTATATCGTTGTCAATTCGCGCCTGGGAGCGAAGCCTGTCAATTATACAAAATCAGCCGCTGAGGGATATAGAGGGTATCTTCTTAGTGGGTTTAAGGGTCATGCTGCTAATTTTTGTTGTCCCGCTCATCCGCACCTAGTTACTCCTTTTTTCTTACTGTATTCTAGGCATTCTCGGAAGTGTGATAACAGCATTTGCGAGGATGACGAGAAGCCCGAATGGCACATTCTTCCCCGAAAACTATTTCCTTTATTAGGAAAGTATTCATTAGTTCACTTCATTGTTTCTTGCGTTTCTGTGTGGTGTCCAATACGTACTGTCTTAAATTGCCCATCTTAAATTGCCCATCTGTGCGGTATGATTACATCTTCCGTTCCTCACACATGCTTCCAAGTGGTACCTTGTCGACGGTAGGCTGCACAAACTATTGGTATAAATACTGGGCAGCATATAGCTATAAGGCACATTAGGTAATTCTGTTGCATCAGGCGCGCTGGATGGGCAAGAAGGATGGCCTACCAATCATCAACCTTCAGCATGCATAAGGAACAATCGGTGGATAGGGTTGACCGATATGGAAGGAAATAACACATCACATGAGCTCTTGTAGCTATCTCGGATCGGCCAGTACCCTTCACTCCGGCTATAAATCTTCAACTCCCTTTCATCAAGAGACATCCATCGTTTCTCCTCCATCTTTCGGGCCTACTCAACGGAGGCTAGAGCTCGCTAGTAGCTATGGGTGTGCTGATAAGGGAAGCTGCCCACGGTGATTCCCTTGTTTATGGCGGATAGAGGGGAGCCTGGGGGATATATACCAACAAATTTATATTTGTCTCATGTCACAAGGTGGACTTTTGGCTCTGTAGGCTAGACACGCTGTGGTTTTGCTGCGCGATCTGGTGGCCTTTGTGTTCGGCGATGAGCTCGGGTTGGTGTTGAAATATTGAGAATCTCAGCTTCGTTTAGGCGCATGGTGATCTGCTATGATTCTTCTGCTTGTTGTGTTAGAATTGAAAGGAATTGCTTTGGTGAGATTTCTTTGGAGGTCTGGGGGGTAGTACAGTCGCATATGTGTACTCAACTATGCCGCTTACGAGGAGATAGGCTGGTTTAGGGTTTTAATAAGCTAACACGCATAGACATCACTCACTCCGGTCCTCTAGCGAGTGGTAATATCTGTGCGTTGTGCTGGCACCTTAACCTTATCTCCGCTACTTGGTTCTCCTCAAAAGCTGTGAACGCCGGCGGTATTCACAGTTGGAATCATACAAGCATCCGAATATCCATACTTATAAGTACGGCTATGGGCCTAGCTTGTGGGAGGAGGAGGAGGACTCACCATGTACTTGGGTACACATCGCACGAGACTAAAGAATTACGAGAAATTAGGCATTTATTTAACTACTAGAAACTACTCTTCTCTGATTCAATGGTGCGCGCTCATAGTGGTTCGAGATCACATTAGATACTAGGTACATCTCCCGTCAAAGAGGTCAAAATGACTGCGTAATATGGAATAGTCAAGTGGGACCCGGATTATTTGGAGAGATAGTTGGCTGGGATTTGGAGGGTGGGGGACTGGGTCCTCTCATCGTTCTCCTCAATCTCGCGCGGTTGTCTGCTCGGAATTTCGCATTTCCATCGCTTGCTGCTCCAGCAGCACCCGTCTAGGTTTTTCCTGCTCTGCCTGTTCCAGTTTTATCTCGCCATTTATCTCTTCACGAATATCTTCTCTCTTCTTCAGAAGCTCCACACGGAGCCTCTCGATCTCGCTCTTCATCTCTTCACGGTTCAGAAGCTCCGCGCGGAGCTTCTCGACCTGGCCTTCCATGTCTTCACGCTTCTTGATCTCGTTCTTCATCTCTTCACTATTCAGAAGCTCCGCACTGAGCTTCTCGACCCCGCCCCCCACCCCCTCACGGCTCAGAAGCCCCGCACGGAACCCCCGGTCCCTCCACTCCCATATCTCCTCAAGTAATGCTCTATTCTTCTTGCGCCACACCTCGAGGAGTTGGTTCTGTTGTTTTTTCTGCTCAGACAACTGGTCTCTTGCCAGTCGCGTCTCCTCATGGTGCTTCTTCTCCTCACTCAACTGCGCCCGGAGCTCCACGACCTCCAAAGTCACCTCACGAAGTCCCTTGTCCTTATTGTTCTGCTTAGAAATCAACTGTTCCCCCATCAATCGTGTCTCCTTATGGAGCTTCCTCTCCTCACTCAACTGCGCCCGGAGCCGTCCGACCTCTAAAGTCAACTCGCGAATTTCCTTCTCCTTATCATTCTGTTTAGAAATCTGTTGCTCTCTCATCAATCGTGTCTCCTCATGGAGCTTCTTCTCCTCATCCAGCTGCCTCCGGAGCGCTTCCACCTCGAACATAGTCACATGGTGATTGTCCTTCTCCTTCCGCACATCGTCACGCAGCCGGCCCCTCTCTTTCCGTGTCTGCTCAGTGCCCTGTTCCATCTCTCTCCGCAGCATTGCCGTTCTCAGCCGCTGAGAATCACGTACAAGATCTGACATCTTCCTATGCAGCGCTTGCCCCTCCGTTATACGCGCCGAGTAGTCGGACTGCCGTTTTAACAAGCAGTTCCACTGCGCACTCTCCGCCTTAGAGCCTTTCCAGTCACCTGCGAGGGTTAGCTGAGATACGGTCTGAGCATAAGATACATACTTCTGAGCTTATCGAAGACTGGATACATATCGTCGTAGAGGGTCCGTACGGAATCGTTTTTGTCTGACTGGAGTTCGAGCATGAGCGTTTGCTGGGAGATGAGTGAGTCGAGTTCAGCAAGGAAGGGCGGGGAAACGACATCTGGGCTTGCTGCGCTTGAGACTTCCATGCTGATGGCGTTATTTCCGGTGGGGTTGCCTCTCATCAACCGTGTCTCCTCATGGAGCTCCTTTTCCTCGTCCAGCTGCCTCCGGAGCGCTTCTACCTCTAGCATAGTCACATGATGAAGTTCCTTCTCCTTCCACACATCTTCACGTAGCTGATCCCTCTCTTTCCGTATCTGCTCAGTGTCCTCTTGGCTCTCTCTCCGCAGCATTGTCGCTCTCAGCCGCTGCGAATCACGTACAAGATCTGACATCTTCCTATGCAGCGCTTGCTCTTCCGTTATACGCGCCGAGCATTCGGACTGCCGTTTTAACATACAATTCCACTCCCCATGCGTACTCCCCACCTCACCTGCGAGAATTAGTTTAGATGCTACCGTCTGAGCGTGAGATACACACTTCTGAGCTTATCGAAGACTGGAAACATATCGTCGTAGAGGTTCCGTAAGGAATCTTCTTTGTCCGACTGGAGTTTGAGTATGAGCGTTTGTTGGGAGATGAGCGAGTCGAGTTCAGCAAGGAAGGGCGGGGAAACGACATCTGGGCTTGCTGCGCTTGAGGCTTCTGAGGTTGGGTCGGCGTCAGACATGCTGATAGCGTTATTTCCGGTGAGGTCGGCGATAGTTGTAGATGTAGTACTGGATTCAGGTTAGGCCCCCCAGAAAACAACAATGTTGAATGACTCAGCCAGCATGTTACACCAAGTGGTGTCAGGTGTGGAACTCCGAACGCAGCACAGCTCTGCAATTATGTACGGCACGTCCATTGGATATTTTTTGCAACTGCACGTACTCACTGTGTTTCTGTTGATTGCAGTCCACCTCGGGGGTGCTAACAGTTTTCTTCAAAGTTTATAGAATCCGAAGTGTATCCGAGGATATATGAATCATGGAACAATGATCGCTGAGTTTCGTCTCTCGCGTGCCCTTGCAGGTAAGGTTGGAATAAGCTTCTATGCGCATGGTCCCCACCAGGCGGGTAGGGGTAAGGTGTATACATGTAGTTACATATCTGAACGGTCTTGCGCTTAATGTTGAGCTAAGAATGTCATGCCATGATTGGACTCGACTCGGGTCGGCCCGCTGCAGCTGCAGGGATAACAGATAAGAGATCACGTCGTACTTTACTTCAACTCGACAGCTATCATAGATGTAGCTATATCAATCGACTCTAGTAATACATGTCGTGTGGAAGAAGAGAAGTTGAAAAGAATAAACTGGAAGTGGACGCAGTGGCAACGTATCTTGGGGACACATTGTACGGTTAGGTGGCTCTAAGCGAGGAGAATAAATCAGGAGGAAAGGAAGGCTCTAGACCCGAATAAACTCTACGATTCGATTCTCTTACACCTAAATTTTCTCAAACACTTTCTATACAGGGCTTAATTTTCACATGCATGTGCCAAAGGACAGCACATTAATTTGTGCGCTGGCTAGATAATCGCTAGAAAGGTAATAAACAAAAACGTAGATTAGGACGGTCTTTTCCTCATGGTATGTCTTTTACTGCAGCACATCGCTGTTAAAACAACACTTCTTAGCGCCCGCATCGCCTGTACGTGGAAAGGTCGTCGCAAGTGACCATCGAAAATGATTGCGTAATATGGAGTAGTCAAGCAGGACCCGGATCGTCTGGAGAGATAGTTGGGTGGGATTTGGGGGGTGGGGGACTGGGCCCTCTCATCGTTCTCCTCAATCGCGCGCGGTTGTCTGCTGCAAGTCTCGCATTTCCCTCGCTCGCTGCTCCAGTAGCACCCGTCTAGATTTTTCCTGCTCTGCCTGTTCCAGTTTTATCTCGCCCTTTATTTCTTCACGAAGATGTTCTCTCGTCTTCAGAAGCTCCGCATGGAGCTTCTCGATCTCGCTCTTCATCCCCTCGCGGATTTCGCTCTTCATCTCCTCGCGGATCTCGCTCTTCATCTCCTCGCGGATCTCCCTCTCCCTACTTATTTTTTCAAGTAATTCATTATTCTCACTGTGCGACTCCCCAGTGAGTCCCCCCAGTACATTATTCTGCTGAGAAAACTGGTCTCTCGCTAGTCGGGCCTCCTCACGGAGCTTCTTCTCCTCACTCAACTGCGCCCGGAGCGATACGACCTCCAAAGTCACCTCGCGAATTGCCTTGTCATTCTGCTCAGAGATCTGCTGCTTTCTCACCAATCCCGCCTCCACATGAAGCCTCTTCTCCTCACTCAGCTGCGCCCGGAGGTGTACGACCTCTAAAGTCAACTCCTTCTCCTTATCATTCCGCTCAGAAATCTGCTGGTCCCTCATCAATCGTGTCTCCTCATGGAGATTCTTCTCCTCATCCAGCTGCCTCTGGAGCGCTTCCACCTTAGCCATAGTCACCTTGTGGAGTGCCTTCTCCTTCCGCACATCCACACGCAACTGGTTCCTCTCGTTCAGTGTCTGCTCGGTGAGCAGGTCCATCTCCCTCCGCAGCATTACCACTCTCATCTGCCGCGACTCTCGCACAACTTCTGTCATCTTCCCAAGCAGCACTGATTCCTCCATTAGACGCGTCGCGTAGTCGAACTCTCGTTCCCTCAAGACTTCCCACCGCAAAATGTCCACAGCAGAGCTCCGGTTCACTGCGAGGTTAGCTGAAATGGCACCGTCTGACCGTGGGATACATACCATTGGTATTCGTGAGGAGTGTGTCCGTTTCGTTGTGGAGAGCCCGTAGGGAATCGGTTTTGTCCGACTGGAGTTTGAGCATGAGTGTTTCTTGGGCGGACAGCGACTCAAGTTCAGCACGGAAGTGCGGGGGAACGACGACATCTGGGGTTGCTATGCTTGTTGCGCTTGAGGCTTCCCAGGTTGATTCGGCGTCAGACATGCTGATAGCGTTATTTCCGGTGAGGTCGGCGATAGTTGTAGATGTAGTACTGGATTCAGTTTGGAGATAGGTTAGGCCCCCAGAAAACAACGATGTTGAATGACTCAGCATGTTACACCAGGTGGTGTCAGGTATGGAACGCAGTAATATCTAGCAAGGACGCCAAGGGGCTAGCCCGGGCTGGAAAATAGGTAGGCCTGGCCCGGCCCATACTATCCAAATCATGGCCTGGCCCAAGCTAAATAGCCCGTGCTGGCCTGGGCTAAATATTTATGGCCCAGGCTCCCGCAAATGGAGGTGTTCGTCACAATGCGAATATATGTTCTTGAGATTATCGTAGATAGGATCGAAATAACACAATTTAACCTTCCTCTTATGGTAGAAAATATATGATGTTATTTACCTTGCCTCTTCTAGTAGAAAATGACTATATATCAAGGAACAACTCCTAAGATTGTATGGACACCTTGAAGCCCGGGCCTGCCTATTTAGCCCGTGCTAAATATTAGCCTCCGCCCGGCCCGGCCCATCAAATAAAATCTAGGGCCCGGCCTGGCCCGCCCAAAAATAGCCCGGGCGGCCCATCTCAACCCACGGCCCATCGACGTCCCTGATATCTAGCATGTACTACTTTTGTCGACTTTGACCGCAAGAAGCATAGAGATTTCAGTATGGCTCTACAATGTACGGCGCGTTCATTGGAGGTTTTTCGCAACTACATGTATTCACTGAATTTGAACTACATGTATTCACTGAATTTGAACTCATTGCGGTTCACCTCGGGGGTGCCGAACAGTTCCCCAAAGCGTATAGAATCCGGAGTGTATCCGACGATAGGGATTTGGAAAAAATGCTTGTTTCCGCTGAAATTTTTTAAGTGATGTACCAGCGTTCAGGAGGTTACCGCCATAGGGGAGTCTTTTGTTTCAATTCCTCAAGGGTGGAGATTTCAAAATTCGGTTGTTGTAGGCTATCTAGATTTGCTTGTTTAATTGTACCTCCGACACGTAATACCTTATTGACCTATTTACTGATGACCTTTATGTCCTTGGTAGCCCTATTGGAACCATGAATTATGGATTCACAACGAGTACTGAGTTTGGTCTGTGAACGCGCCCTTCCAGATAAGGTTGGAATAAGCTTTCTATGTGCCATGGTCTCACCAGTCGGGTAGGGGCAAGGGTGTCGAGCATATGGCGGATACTGGGTGATGGTGGATAGGGCAAAAAAGAGACAGCTAAGCCAACCTTTACCTGCAATTCGCCAATACCCAGCATCCACCGACACCCCGTGAACGACAGTAGAACTTACATATCAGAGCCAAGAAATTTCATGCCATGATTGGACTCGGCTGGGGCCGGCCCGCTGCAGCTGCAGGTATACAGACCCCGCAACGGGCGATGGGTTATTCGGGTGTACCCGGGTGAATTAACTTGGGTTTGGTTGGGTGAGGCCAAAATGGCGAGTGGGTTGGGTTGGGTGCAAGCAGATCCTTACCTGGGTAACCCATGGGCTGAGTGATACGCTATGATCACATATAGAAGGGAAGAATAAAGATGATTTCGCCAAAAGAGAGGTATCATAACCCTAAACCATTACATAAAAAAGCCCTCTCCATCCATCACTAGGGAAATTTTTGTACCGATTTATCCACTGTGGGTAACTCGGGTATGGCAGGTTGGGTTGGGTGAGGCCTCAATCCAATCCGGGTTCACCCATTGCGGGGTCTGCAGGTATAACAGATAAGAGATCACGTCATCTCTAATCTACCTTACTTTAACTCGACAGTTATCTACTTAATGTAGAGTGCATGTAGCTGTATCAATCGACTCTAGTAATACATGTCGTATGGAAGAAGAAAAGTTGAAAAGAAAACACTGGTAGTGGACGCAGTGGCAGCGTATCTTGGGGGATCGGATGGGATGACAACGATTAGGTGGCTTTAAGTGAGGAGAATAAATTAGGAGGAAGGGGGGGAGGGGCTCTTCCCTTTCCTTTCTAAGGCTCTAGACTCGAATAAACTCTACAATTAGATTAATTCTCGTAAATCTAAATTCTTTCAAACACTTTCTATACAGGGCTCTGCGGTTTAATTAGCAGGCTACAAAAGAATTAGAGAGTCGGGGAAGTTCTACATGCATGTGTAAAAGGACAGCACATCAATTTGTGCGCTGTCCAGATAATCGCTAGAAAGGTTTCAAACAAAGAATGTAGTTCAGGACGCACGGGTCTTTTCCTCATGGTATGGTATGTGTTTTACTGCAGCACATCGCTGTTAAATACAACACTTCTTAGCCGCATCGCCTGTGGGAATGTCGTCGCAAGTGACCATCGAAAATGACTGTGTAATATATGGAATATTCAAGCAGGGCCCGGGTCGTTTGGAGAGATAGTTGGGTGGGATTTGGAGAGATAGTTGGGTGGGATTTGGAGAGATAGTTGGATGACATTTGGAGGGTGGAGGATCGGGTTGTCCCCATCATTCTCATCAATCGCGCGCGATTGTCTTCTCGAAACTTCGCATTTCCCTCCCTTGCTGCTCCAGTAGCGCCCGTCTGGATCTTTCCTGCTCTGCCTCTTCTAGCTTCATTTCGACCATTATCTCTTCACGAAGTTGTTCTCTCTTCTTTAGAAGCTCCGCACGGAGCTCCTCGATCTCGCTCTCCATCGCTTCGCGGCCCTCCCTGCCGTTGAATATTTCCTCATGTAATGCTTTATTTTCCGTTTGCAATTCCTCACAGAGTTCCTTCTGTTTATTATTCTGCTCAGAAAGCTGGTCTCTCGCCCGTCCCGTCTCCACATGGAGCCTCTTCTCCTCACTCAGTCTCTCGCGAAGCCATAACCCTTCCGAAGTCACCGCGCGAAGCTCCTTCTCCTTCTCATTCTGCTTAGAGGTCTGCTGGTCTCTCATCAATCGTGTCTCCTCATGGAGCTTCTTCTCCTCATCCAGCTGCCTCCGGAGCGCTTCCACCTCCGTCATAGTCGCCAGGTGAAGCTCCTCCTCCCTCCGCACATCCGCACGCAGCTGCTCCCTCTCGTTCAGTATCTCCTCGGTGAGCCGTTCCCTCTCCCTCTGGAGTATCACTTCCCTCAGCCGCCCCAGATCCGCGGCCAGCTTCTCTTCCTGCACTAATTCCTCGCTGAGACGCGCGAAGTCTTCGGATAGCCGTTTCGCCGTTGCCGTTATGTAACTCTGGTCCGAGAGTGTAGCCTCCGCAGCGGTACCTGTGTCGCTTCCTACTGAGCATTAGATGGGATACATACTGCCGCCGTCCGAGCGTGAGATGCATACTCCGGAGATGCTGCCACAGTAGACGCATGTCAGTCGCGAGGGTCTTGTAGCGGTAGATTTTGCCTGACTGGAGCTCGAGAATGAGGGTTTCCTGGGAGTGGAGCGAGTCGAGTTCGGCATCCAATGATGGAGGAAGAGCATCTGCGCTTGAGGCTTCCAGGGTTAGGTCGGGTTCTGACATGTTGATAGCGTTATTTCTGTAGTTGTAGATTTAGCAGTGAATTCAACTGTAGAGTGCTAGGATGGGGTTACTGTCAGTACTCGGTTAGGCCCCCAGAAAACAAGGATGTTGAATGACTCAGCATGTTACACCAACTGCTACACGTTGTCAATTATGGAACACACGGTGATAGTTACCGTGTGTTGACTTTGGTTGCAAGAAAGATAAAAACTCCAGTACAAGTCTGGAATACATTGCGATTCGATTGGAAATTGTTTACAGGTCCTCACTGTGTTTGGTTCACCCCGGGGGTGCTAAACAGTTTACTAAAAAGACAACTGTAGTGATCAGTTGGTTTTTCGCTCTCTTTTTATAAAATATATAGAGTTAAATGTGTATCTGAGCATAAGGATTTGAAGAGAAGAAATGGGCTGCTTTTTCGGGAAAACTGAAAATCGGATGCACATCACGAGCCATAATTATAACCAGCCATGTAAATGATGACTTCACGCATATGAGAAGAAGAGACGTGGAAAAGAACATAATAGTGGAGGAGGTGGCAAAATATCTTAGAGAATGGGATGACGACACTCTTGAAATAGGGCGCTCGGCACGTTTCATAGTTCTGGAAGATTCTCATCATTTCATTATAGTATTCGTCATCGGCGTATGACTCACTTTCCTATTAGTCATTCTATTACTCACACGTCCATGACTCATTGTATCTCTTTTGTACTACCTTTCATTAGTATAAATACGGGGCATTCCCCCTTAGCTAGCACAATCAACACGATCAATTACTTTACTTCTCCTACACACTTACTCTAGGTTATGAGCCCGGAGACCACTCACGCTTATACACTCTTCACCATTTTTACCACAAAGTACACTTTCTCGTTTCACTTTCAATCATGTCTGAGAGGAGCATCAAAATTCCCGCACTCCCATGCAAGCTGGATGGTCAAGGCCATTACACTGTATGGAGGGACCTTGCTACCTCTGAAGGGGCGGCGATGGCAGATATTCCGCAGGGTACGATGTGCGACAATAGTGGCTGTCGGGTTAGTCAAGCGAAGTCGAGCGAGGTGCGAAGGTCTTCGTGGAGAAGAGAAGCAATAGCGTATAGTTCGAAGTGGTTCAATCTGGTATGGTATGACAGGTATGAACAAGTGTTTGTAGTAAGGAGAGTACAGAAGATAGATAGATAGTTTTATATTGCTTTGAAGTACAAGACTTATCGCACGCCGGATCCACCGCCATAAACATAGGAAAAACAAAGGAGACCGAACAGAACAGAAAAGAAAAGAAGACGGAAAGCAACGAATGTCAAAGGAAGGTACAGAAAAGGAAAGAGAAAACAAAGAAACCTATCGTCATTCCTCCGGGTCCTCCTCGTCCATTTCGTACCAGTCGAGTAGGTTGGTTTTTGATGCGAATTGTAGAATCAGGTCTACGTTGAGGTTGGTGAATAGCCAGTTTTCCCAGGTGTGCGGTCCTGGGATTTTATCCATGAGTGGCCTTCGTATTTGAGCCCATCGCGGGCAGTCGATCATTGTGTGTTTGGAGGATTGTTCCGAGCCACATTGGCAGGGTTCGGGTTCCGTGAATGCTGCGTGTCTGTCTATTCTGGTGACTTGGCATCGTATGCGATGTATGAGTTTCGCTTTGGATCGAGGGAGTTTTGCTCGTTTGGGGTGAATCTTAAGGGTTCCTGGCTCGTGGTAATTGGTGCATGGGATGGAGTTCCATTCTTCCAGCATGCGTTTGGTGAGGGTGTCGTTTTGGACCCATCGCTCTCTGCGGTTGCCTGGTTCTTGGAAGGGTAGCATGAGTGATGCTATCCGGTGTAGGCCTGTGCCTTTTATGTTTTTTATTCTGGTGGGGAGGAGCTGTATAAGTCCTTCGTTGAGTGGGTGGTCGGCAGGATGGCAAAGGATGCGCGTCCCGTATTTTCGTGATTTGTGGTTGAGGAGGTGTTCAAGTGGGGGAAGTGCTGCCTCTTTCAGCAGTCTTTCGGTTTTTGTCCAGCGGGGTAGGCCTGTTATTATTCTGGCAGCTTCGTTATAGAGTGGGGATAGTGATCGGAGGTTGTGGTCGGCTCCCGTCCACCATGCCTCTGATCCCATAGGATGGTAGGGAGGAAGCCTTGGACGATGAGGTGGTGGATGGATTTTACCGTTGTCCCAGGGAGGTGTGCGATGTTTCTGATTCTGCTTAGAGCTTTCAGGCCTTTGGCGATGATTTCTTCGATGTGGGGTCGGAAGGAGAGGTTTGAGTCCAGCCAGACTCCAACGTATTTGAGTCTATCTTTAGGTTGGATTTCTTCTTTTGCGATTGTTACCGAGTTTCTGGGAGTTGGAGTGTTCGACGATGTGGGTTTGAAGAAGACCAGGTCGGATTTCTGGGGTTCGTATTTGATGTTGAGGGGTGCTGCTTTCTTGACTCTTTCTGCCATTCTTTCGTTGAGTCTTTTGGTGATATAGAGGGGGGTCTTTGCGAGTTGTACGAGTGCATCATCGTCGATATAGGTGGTGTTGGTTTCTTTGGGAGAGTTGGTGGGGTCTGTTATCACCCCAGCATATATCATAAATAATACTGGGGAGAGGGGGGAGCCTTGAGGTAGTCCTGAGGCATATGGTTGTGGTGGTTCCAGTTCGTGGTTAAATTGGAATTGGAGTGTTCGGTTGGTGTTGAATTCCTTGCACCAGTTGGTTAGGTAGGTCGGGAATTTTTGTTGGGTCATGATTTCTGCGAGTAGGAGGTGGTTGACGCAATTGAAGGCTCCCTGTATATCGTTTGTGAGAAGGGCTGGTCTGTCTGGGGTGGTTCCTGTGGTTCGTTTGATTAGGTGGTTTTGTTGTATGGGCGTGAGGGTCCGTAGTAGGGCATCGCTCGCTGAAATTGTTGGTCTTCCTCCGAACTGGTCTTTGCTGAGGGTCTCCAGGATGGATCCGGCGGTGCATAGTCTTGTTGCCACTATCTTTTCCAGTACTTTGCTGAAGCATTGTAATAGGGAGATGGGTCGGTAGGCTTTGGCTGACGAATAGTCGGATTTTCCTGGTTTCGGTATCGGTATGCATTTTGCCGCTTTCCATCGATCCGGCTGGACTCCATGTCGGAGCATGGCCGAGAACATGTCTTGGAAGAGTTGGGTGTTTGCCTTGATTGTTGCCTGTATAAACGGGTATGGGATGTTATCGGGTCCGGTGGCCGAGTGTGTCGGGCATGATCTGATTGCTGATTTAATTTCTTCTGTTGTTACTTCCTGGAAATCGTCACTAAGGTCAAAAGAGGGGGGTCTGATTTGGAGTGGGGGGTTGTCGGGGGACGTCCAATTTGTGGGGAAGAGTTGGGCTCTTAGAGCTTGGCACTTCCCCGCAAACGTTTCTTCACCTTGTATAGTTGGGATTGTAGAGTCCCTTCTTTTCCCCGTGTTGATTAGTTTCCAAATGGCGCTTCCCTTGGCTTCCATGAGTTCTTTTTCCCTTTGTTCTGCCTTGGCTTTTCGGATTGCTGCCGTCCATTTCCTGCTGGTCTTCCTGAAAGATTCCCTGTTTTCGTCCTTTTGGGTGTTCCTGGCTTTCCTTTCTAGTGTGTTGAGGGTTGATTTAATTTCCTTCAGCTCTGGGGTCCATCATTTCTTAGATTTAGGGTGTCCTTGGCTCCATGGGGTTATTTGGTCTATCAAGTTGTCTATATGTTCGAGTATGAAGTCAACTGATTGCTTTGTGTGGTTCTGGCTTTCCCATGCTTCTGGGGGAAAGTGGAGGCCTGAGATATTTTCTTCCAATTTTTCCCAATTCGTTCGGTGCCATAGTCTCCTGGGGATGTGAGGGGGCTTCTCTATTCGTAGTTGTAGGATGGTTTTCCCGTGGTCGGATCCTGCTCCATGTCGGTCGATGTTCCAGCGGACGTCATGGTCCAGGATTGGTCCTTTGACTAGTGTCAGATCGATGATAGTCGATCTGTTATTATTTCTGGGGAAGTGTGTGAATTCGCCTGGTTCATTGAGTAAGGATAGCTTTTGTCGATCAATCCATCTTTTTATCTCCTTGGACCCGGGTTTATCTGCTCTGATTGTA